CGGACGACAGGGTGCGCCCGCGGGCTGGTGCCTACCTTGTCCATCACCAGCCGCGGCGCAGCTGGGTCAGGGGTGGTCGGAGAGCTGCCCTCCGCGGCTAGGTTGTTCAAAGCCGCGCACCAACCGCACTGCAGGGAGCGGCGGCAGAGTGTTGTGGCGGCAAGGAGGAACAGATGGGGAATTGTCTGCTTGCGCCTCCTAGAGACGTCACACTCCATCCGGATCGCTTGTTCATACTTCGCACACGCCGATGTACCTTGAACAAGGCAAGCGGGCCGCTAGGCCCCTCCGGCACGCTGTTGCCGCTGCCACAGGCCGTGCAGCGTTGCTGCCTGGCGCCCCCAGGTGCTCCCATGACTGTGGGGGGCCAAGCCCAATTGGGCTGGGCGTGACAGGGACCGTTTTTGCGCCTGCCAAGCTGTGACCGGGGACATGCCGACATGCCGTGCGCCACTTGGCGCAGCTCCCTCGCCCGCGGTAGCCCTTCTTTTGTGGTGTCCTGTTGGTCCCGTTCCCTCGGGTTAAAGCTGCCTTCAGGCCCAGAAAAAGCACCGCCATGGCTAACAAGTCGGAGCTTGCCTGCGTTTACGCGGCGCTGATTCTTCATGACGACGGGCTGGAGATCACGGCAAGTTGGGGGGGGCGGCGGCATCGGCAGCCATGCAGGCCGCAGCATGTCATGCAGGCGGCTTCGGGCCTGGCAGGGACGCGCCCGTGCTCACACACCTTCGCCCTGCTTGCCTGCAGCCCGAGAACATCACCACCCTGACCAAGGCCGCCGGCATCGAGGTGGAGCCATACTGGCCCGGCCTCTTCGCCAAGCTGGTTGAGAAGAAGTCCATTGACGATTTCATCGTCAACGTGGGCGCCGGTGAGTGCCCCTGTGGGCTGGAAGGGCTGCGGCGGGGTGGGTGGCAACCGTGGCGCTCGCTGCCGCTAGCACACCCTGCGGAGTTGTGGCGAGCATGTTGTGGCGAGCGTGTGTACCAAGGAGAGCAGGCCGGCGGGGGCATGAGGACGCCCAGAGCTGATGCATGTGCGTTTCCCATGCACATGTGTTCCTTTGCAGGCGGTGGCGGCCCCGCGGCTGCTGCCGCCCCCGCGGCAGGCGGCGCTGCTGCCGCCGTGGAGGAGAAGAAGGAGGAGAAGGTCGAGGAGGAGGAGGACGAGGTGTGTGCAGCACTGCTGGCCAGCTTCGCTGAGCTGTACTCGGCAGTTTGCAGCTTGCAGCGCGTCTGGCGCACAAGGACGGTCCAATGTGAACCTACGCCGCTTGTTGAGGCTGCCATATTGCTTGTTTGTAACGCTTTGCTGGCTGCGTGTCCTGTCCTCCACGTGCTGCAGGACATGGGTTTCTCCCTGTTCGACTGAGTTTCCTACGTGGCGCAGTGCTGCCTCAGCCGCTGGCTGGGCCTGCCCAATCAGCCGGCAGTGCTGTGGCCAGCCTCCCTTCCTGGCGGTGTGCGACAGCGTTGGTGCTCCGATTCTCGCTCCCTTTGATTCTCGCGGCAGACACGCAGTGCATGTAATGCAACTCACCTTTACAGGCAGAGCTTGGCAGAGGGTTTGGGAAGGAACTTTGAGCATTGACATTGGCATGCGGATGCGGCCTCCAACGGGGGGGAGCCTGAGCTGCTGCGCCCAGGGCGACCGTCATGGATTCGCCTTTAGCAGCCTTGTGGGAAAGTGTTAGCACGGCAAGCCATCAGGCCCACAGCAGATCAAATGCTGCGTCTCCAAGAAAGCAGGAAGAAAGATTGAGCAGGAAAAAATGCGTCGCGCTGTGGCAGCAGCACACATGGTATCCTAAGGAAGGCTGGATGAATCATAATTTTGAAAGTGCAGCAAGGTATGGAACAATTGTTCAGAGGCAATGGATGGAGGCTGCACGATGGCTGGATGTAGGCTGCAGGACTGCCCCGGCAATCCAAGAGCCTCTCTGGCAATTTGCCAGGACTGTGCGTGTGTGTTCTGACCTCAGGCCATAGCGCGCTTCACCTGCTCCAGCACCAGGAACATGATGGTGCTGCAGGGAGTGCAATCAGCAGGGCAGCATGTCAGTGATCATCAAGCGTGTCAGTACATTTTACACGCCCGGAAAGCTCAAAAACCTCGGAGTCGCAACATACTCACTTCCAGCTGCCCAATCGGGCAAAGTTGCTCGAGAAGCCATTGTACAGTGCTAGCGGCCCATCCGCCTTGACAGTCTTCACAAAGCAGTCCAGCACGCCGGAATACACTCCAGGCGCGGCACCTGCAGCAACAGCAAGGTGCATGGCAGGCCATAGCGCGGGTGACCAAGCGCAAGGTGCGCGGCGCCGGCATGCGCAGGGACTGGCCGGTGCACGACGCATGCAGGAGGCTTCCAGGAAAGACAAAATGACGCACGGCAAAGGCAGAAGGCCCCAGCCCACCCATCATGCGCGACTTGACCACATCCACAGGGCTACCGCAGATGACCGCAAACAGGCCGGCGCCGAGGCCAGAGGTGACGTGGCAGTAGATGTTGTCCTGGAACATGCCGCTCCTGCAGGGCAGGTGCAGGTGCGGGAGCCAGCAGCTTGACGGCAATCGATCAAGGTGACGAGGCATGGCCTTGCCAACCGACGGAACACGGATGGCCCTGGGCCCAAAAACACCAGCTCGGCACCAAAGCCCACGCACTTAAGCAGCGACTCCTTGATCTGATCGTAGCTGGCCAGCTCAGCGGCATTGATGATGGCATTGCGGGCAATGTTCGGGCCCAGCCCAGTCCACAGCGCCCCCACGCCCTCTGTGGTGATGATGCTGCGGTAGGCGGCTATTGAGGAGGTGTACTTGCGAGGGTGGCCATCTGGCAGGCGGCCTGCCGCTTGCATGCGCACCTGCGGGAAGGGCAGGGGTGGATGGTTGGGCAGGCACAAGCAACGCCCTCCATGTGGGCAGCGAAACCTGGCAAAGCTGGCTGCACGCTGCCTGCCCGCCCACCTTGACCAGATCAGTGGGTGAGGCCACGGAAATGCCGATGGCGCCGGTGGTCAGGCCCGCCGCAATCTTGATTCCGAGCGACACATCCCCAGTGTGGTCCTTGCCCACCATGGCATTCCGGATGGGCTCATACAGGCCGATGCGTAGGCCGCCGTACACCACCTGCCGCTGCAAGCCTGCAGGGAGTGGCAGCGGGAGGGTGGCGGGCAGGGGTCTCAGCAGCAGCAGCAAAGCGTACAGGCCGCCGCGACCCCGACAAGCAGCAGGCTGGCGGGTATCTGATGGCTGGGGCACCAACAACATGGTACATTTCTTGGGCGCAGCAAAGCTTGCATCCACACTGCTTCGGTGGGCTACAGGCAGCAAAGGGTGGTAGACACAAACGGGCACCCCTGCTGATGCCGCCCAGAAGCCTGCACCTGCGGCTTACCGGGCGCCAGGCCCTTCCACAATGCTCCTGCACCCTCCTCCCGCGCCACAGTGAGGCATGTGCCCAGCAGGCCCCTGCAGGCAGTGCGGTAGGGGTTCGGCTTGGAAATGGCAGCCGCTGCTGCCGCTGCCTGCCGCCGCTGCCGCCCCAGCGGGAGCTCACTTGTACTTGGGAGCCGCGGTCTTTGGCTGCAGTTGAAGCTTCACCTTGGCCGTATCTGAGGCAGGAGGGAACCAAGCAGCAAGCGTTTCCCTTGTCTCCAGCGACCCGTGACAACCCTCCTGCACGCGCTTCCCACCTAGTGGCAGGGTCATGATCTCAGCAGTGCATGCTGCAATCGCCGAGGCAGCGAAGGTCTTGTGGAAGGGCAGGACCGGCCCGCCACTTGGTGCTACCATATTGGGTTGTTTCAGACGATGATGGTGTGAGGCCCAATCTATTCGAGCAGGAGGAGAAGAAGAAGAAGATGTGACCAAACACGGGTTACTCAGATACAAGAGGGTCCGTCGCCGCCAGCTGTACACCGCCGCCAGCTGTACGCCGACGTGGGGAGTGGAAGGACCTGGGAAGAGTCCGAGCATGACATTCATCTGCAAGCGTACGGGCTAATGAATGAGAGTGAAGTTAAACTGCATTTTATAATCGTGATGGAGCCTGCTTCAAGCAGTGAGAGGTGAGAGAATTGAGTCTGAAGCATACCCGCTGAAACGGGGCAGGCACATACTGGGGCACGCCCCAGTGGAGCAGCAAAACAAAATGGAGAGCAAGCAGGCAATGTTGAAACACACGGACAAAAAGGTTGGGCAGAAACGCGAGGAGGCGACGAAGGGAAGGCTGTCCCGATACCTGCAGTCGGCCGGCTGAGAGCGGGGGTGCAGCCCCAGAGCGATGGACATCTCGACCGGCAGGTGCTTGGCGCTGTCCAGCAGCAGCCACAGCTGGTCCAGGCTGCAAGGAGCACGGATACGAGGAGGCACATTTAGCGATGGCAATCTCGTTCGGTGAGCAATGCATGTCGGCAAGGGGAGAGAAGGTGGGCCTCACAGCCAGCACGCAGAAAGTGCCAGGTTGCGCCCCGCTCCCCTCAGCGGGTGCTGCGGGCCCGCCCGGACCAGGCGCAAGAAGTTGTCAGCACTTGCGACTGAAACAGCCGTGCCCCGTGAGGGTTGCTCACGCCTCTGTGAACCGCACAGCCAGCTGCAGCACAAGAGCAAGGGCGGTGAAGACTGTGAGGGTCTGCAAGTCGAGAGGTGTTAGCCCTCATGCAGCCTCACACAGGGCCAGCTTGCTAGTGAACACCCTTCGCATCCAACCTCTCCACTGCTCCAACCAGCGGTGATGCAGTCATCGACGGTGCAGGCGAAGCGGTGGCCAAGATAGAGAGTGAGCCTGTTGCAGCAGGGTAAACACAGAAGTGAGCAAGTCCCAGGCACCAGAGACTGATCAGTATGGCACAGGAGCAAACAGCAGCATGACGCACCACAGGTAGCGGCTGGCATGGGCGCAAGCAGCATGCAGCTGGGACCAGCTGCATGCACATATGGGTGCCCAGATGGCAGCCTGTTGCGCCGGCATCGTAGGCGGCCTTCAGTGCCTGCTTGCAGCGCACCGCCGTGGCCTAGAAGAGGTCTCGGTCAGCAAACCCGTTACAAATGCGGGCAGGAAGGTGACTGCAAGCAGTGTAGCACCCAAGGTGCAATGTGAAGGTTGCATGCAGAGGCCAACATGCGAGCAAAGGTGACACCAGGGTTTTAAAAAGCTGCCAGAAGCTGCCCGGCCCCTCACAGTGTCAGCGGATGGGCACGCCCACCATCAGAAAGAGCGGCAGCGAGGAGAAGCGCAGGCCGATTATGATGAGCAACAATCCCACAGCCGGCCGCCGCCAGAAACAAAAGTGCCCTGTGGGTGCATGCCCATGTTCAGCGCACACTGCAGTGACACTGTGTCGCCGGCTGTGGCTGCCGCTGTGCCGCCTGCTGCTGGTCCGCCTGGTCCGCCGACGCCGACGCGGGACCTGGGAGCTGCCGGGTCGGCGAGGACTGCATCACGTCGCGGCGCACCCAAGCTCTTGTCGATGCAGAGTGCGCGCGCGGGCTGCTGATGGCGCCAGAGGTCAGCAGCAGGGTTCGGGGCAAGCAAGTAGGGACAGAGTGTCAGAATCTGGGCCGGAAATCTCCTACACTGTCGACTTGTAGAGTAGCTCCTTCGGTGCGTCAGAGGTGGCCCAGCGTGGCAATGGCGTTACATTGTCTACGCTTCGAAAACTGGCTGCCCGTTGAGAATGCCGAATTGAGACGGGCCTCCCGGCCCGTTTGCAGGCGTTGTCCCGTCTCGGAGTTCCTGACCTCGGACGCCGCATCCCCACGGGGGGTGCCGTGGCCGACACCCTCCACATACCCTCATCGAGGTCAGCGCGTTCCGAATGTGGCGGCGGCAGCAGGAGAGGGATGCGGGCGGAGCCCCGCGCACCGATGGCGCTGCTGCCGCCTCTCCGGTCGCACAGCGGCGGCAAGAGTTGCGCGAGTTCATTGCTCTGCGCAAGCAGGTGGGCGGCGCCACCGAGCCTGCTGCTCCAGCAGCAGGACCGTGCAGCTGGCAGGTCATCAAGCAGCAGGCACACGAGGGGTTCGAGCAGCTGCTACGCCAAGCGGGCCTGCCAGTCAACGCGGGCTTCAGCCGCCCCTGCAGCTTCACCCTGGCTGAGCCCCACACCTCGGCCATCCAGCCCCCCCCACCTCAGCAGCAGGTGTGGCAGATGAGCGGCAGTGCCTCGTCACCAGCCGCGCTGGCAGTACGAAGTGGTGCACTGAACTGGGTCGCTGCACCCCCGCTGCCGCAGCAGCAGCACCACCAGCTCTACTTTACAGCACTGCCACACACAGCGCAAGAGTTGCCGCCGCCCATTCGGCTGGACAGCATGCTCCCAGCGCCTGCGGCATTAACAGCAGAAGCATTACGGCTTCCGCCGTCCTTACCACGCACAGTTTGCAGTAGTGTCGAGGCCAGCAAACAGCAGCAGGGCCATCAGCTGTCCAGGCTGGACTCCGATGTTCAGGCTAGCAGCAGCTGGTCGGCGTGTAGTGCCGATTCAAGTGCGACAAGCCAGCAAGCGTGCGAGGCACTCGGGCGTAATGCATGTTGGGATGAGCAGCCATCCGGCAGCCGTGGCAGCCTGCAGGCCACCACGTTTGACGAACCAGCCGCTTCTGCCTCGTCTGTCATTGCTCGGCCTGGAGAAGCAACCGTGCCATCAAGCCGTGCAAGCCACGACGGATTCAGTGCACATAGCAGCAGCTGCCAGCCCTCGGTATTGGAAGCCCTGGTGGCAGCTGTAGAGGAGGGGGATGTACCGCGGTTGGAGGATGATGCCAGTGACGCAGTCACAGACCAGCCCTTGCCCCAAGCTGCCGCAGGTTGTGGCAGTGTGCTGAGTAACAGCCTGGCAGCGACAGGGAGTGGCCTGTCCACTTCACGCCTCACCGTGTTGGTTGAGCCAGCTGAGTCGGCTGTGACTGTGGAACAGCTTACTGTTTCATCTCCCTTGCCAAGCAGTGACGAAGATTCACTTGTAGCAGCTGCTGCCGCACTGGCACGGTTTAAGCAGCTTCAGGAGCAGCTGCAGCTGTTGCAAGCTGGCCTGCCACTTCCAGTGGACGAGCCAGCACCATTAGATGGTGCTGCGTCGATGCCGCCAGCCGGCACCCCAGCGACGAGTCGTTTGGGTGCAGCGGTTTCAACCCCGAATGCATATGCAAGTAGCCCCGTGTTTGCTGTGATTCGGCAGGCAGAAAGCTTCATGGTACAAGCCCAAGCCCTGCTTCAGCGAGTGAAAGCTGTGACTGCCGCCAGCTCCCTCCATCCTTCTGCACAGCGCGGCTTGCAGCAGCTTCAGCAGCAGCAGACAGGGGGGGTTTCCCCCGCCTCCATTGGTGGCTACAGACATGAGCAGGCAACGCAGCCGCCAGCTGAGGCAGCATTTGAAACACAGCAGCAGGATGGCCAGGCGTTTGATGGCCTGGTGGCATGTGGGCCCACCTCCGGTGCACACCTGCATTCGATGCAGCTGCAGCCGGCGGCTGCTGTAGCTCAGCTGCCGCCTCCCTCTCCGCTGCACCAGCAGCAGCAGAATTGGCTGCACCGGCGGGCACCAGTGGCCTGGCCTGCGTGGGCCTATGAGGGCCCTCAATCTGCAGAGCAGCTGGCGATGGTGCGGGCTGCCTGTGTCTCATCCTCCCGTCACCTGCCGGCGACATGGCAGCATCATTTGCAAAGGAGGATCAGGGGGCGGACGCTCCTCCAGCAGCAACTTTCAAAACCGGCGCTGCCACCTGGCAGCTATGCCGGCAAGCGCCAGCAGGTGGCATCAACTCCCTGTCAGCAATCAAGCCCGCCCAGGCAGCAGGGCAACTATGCCCAGGCAGCTCTCCTTGCAAAGGTGATGGAGGACCCGGGTACATACTGTATGCTTGTATGATGAAGGTGTGCCTCTTGGCTGACCTTGCCTACCTGCATCCGCCTGGCTGCTTCCTCGAACACAGGAGAGGGCAGCTAGAGAGGTCGCTGAGCAGGAGCAACTGCGCCGAGAGAATGATGCGGCACGCAGAGCTGCCAAGCAGCGTGTCCTTGAGGCCAAGAGGCAGGAGCAGGAGCAGGAGCAGCAGCAGCAGCAGATGCGGCAGCGCGCGGGCTGGTGGCAGACGTCTGGTGCTGCCATGCGTCGGAGATTCTACATGCAGCAGCTCAAAGGTCAGCAGCAAGGGCGTGCCAAGCCGCACGATGTGATAGACTGCGCCAAGGCAGCACGGCGCCTGCGATCGCTGCTGCCCCTCAAGCCCAAGCAGCAGCACAAACCTGTTGTGACGCCCATTGCCGAAGTGAAACAGCTGGGAAGGTGCGCATCATTCATTGTGGGTGAACAGCAACGGCAGGAGCAGCAGCAAGGGATGGCTCCTGGTTGGCGGCTATCGGAGGAAGAACAGCAGCTGCAGGCTGAGCTGGATGAGCTGGATGCCCGCATGGCAAACAGAGGTGAGTTGCGAACGACCGGGCCCTAGTGCGATACAGTATTGTGCACAGACATGACGAGCAATGAGTGCTTGGTATCTGCGTTGCAGGCACGCCTGCCAAGGCCCCTCGGCAAACCCTGTGCAGCCCCTGTGGTCTGCATGCCTCTCCAATGGAATCATGCCGGACCAATTCGGCGCTCCAGTTGCTGCAACAGTCACTTGCCCGGCTGGACGAGGAGCTTGCTGAGGTGGTGCAGCACAAGAGGCAGGAGCAGAGCGCAGCTGCGGCCCACAGCATCACTTCTGTACAGGGACAGTCACAGGGGCAGCCTGAGGCTGCCCCCTTCCCGCCGCAGTCTGTTGAGGGTGGTGGGCAAGCCCAAAGTCAGGAACCAGGCGTGGTGGGGGGCCACACTAATCCACAGCCATCTGCTCCGGAGCAGCAGCAGCTGCTACGGCGGCACCTGCAGCAGAAATCACTGCCTGCGGCCCTGGGGCTTGTGGCAGCTGCCACGAGCAGTGTTCTTCATTTGCCGGAGAAAGCAGAAAGGGCGCAAGGGGCACCAGCCATGGCAGTCTGTCACGTGAATGCGGCAAACATAGGCAAGACATGCCCTGATGGTGCGGCAGCAGGAATGGATCCCACCTGCGGCAGCAGCTCTGCAGATTGGGGCAACAAGGCCGGCAATGTACAGCCAGGCCCTCCAAGCAGCAGTGCAAGTCAGACAGTCCTGCCACCGCTCCGTCATCCGCTCGAATGGCAAAGGGGGAGAAGAGCTCCTCCTCTGCTGCACACCGCGGCCAGGGCAGCTGAGCGGGCTTCCAAGATGCAGTTGGTGCCAGCACTGCCAGCACCGACTGGTGACTCGTGGCAGCAGCAGCACCAGCAGCAGGCGTGGCCTGCGTGGCAGCAGCAGCCTTGCTGGTGGCAGCACTGGCAGTATCAGCAGCCAGTGCCGCAGCCGACTGCTCAATGGGGACCTTTGGAGGTTGTGCAACAATGTCCGGGTGGCAGTAACAGTGAATGGAACTTTGCTATGGAGTCAGTTTGGGTGTAACGTATTTGGCAGTTTTCTGAGGCAAGGTCGCAAAAGAAAGGTCAACAGATCACATGACGCTGCAAGATGGTACAGGCAGGACGCATCCCAGCATGAGCGAAAGAAACAACAGATCAGCAATTAGGGAAAAACACTAGGTGTCACCAGCGCTTGCGCATCAGGAACCGCGGCCGCACCCCCAGCGTGGCCCACAGTTTGTTCTGCTGGTGTATCACCTCATAGCCTGCCTTGCGGTACAGCTGCACCGCAGGCTCATTGTCCTGGTACACATGCAGCAGTGCCTGCCGCTCGTTCCAAGCCGCCGCTGCCGCTTCGGCTGCCGCCAGAAGCGCTGCCGCCGCGCCGCGCCGCCGCCAGGTGGGCGCCACCACCATGCTGGCAATGTAGCAGTACCCCTCGGTGCCGGGATCCAGAAGCGCCAGCGTCTCCCGTTGCGCAATATAGGAAATCTCTACCACCCCAATTGGGCTCAATACATCTCTCGCGCTGCTCCCTTCGCTACTAGGTGCTGCCAGCTCAATGACCAGCGACACAAACATGTCGTCCGGGTTGAACTTGAGCTTCTTCAGCATCTCTGCAGCACGCAGGTGCGGCAGGACATCACAGGTATGCTCAGGTTCCGATGAGGTCCCCAGGGGCCGCCAAATCACACAACACATGGGTGACGGGGGTCATGCTCGGAACGATCCTCGGCGTCATACCGCCCAGCTGCGGCTCTTGAAGCTCACCACCTCTTCCCCAGGCTTTCCAACCATCAACATCAACCATGATCCAAATACAAACACAGAACAAATTCCCAACCCACCTGACAGCACCTCCGCCTCGAAGAAGCGCTTGGCCATGCCATCGAACATGGCAACCGGCGCCGCGGTGTGGAAGGCGTCAGTCTGCAGCGCCACCACACGCCGCACCTCTGCCACGCTGCCCTTGTCCAACGGTCGCACCACCCAGGTGCCGTCAGGTGATGTGTATTTCAGGTTTGCCAGTGCACTGGCAGCAGCGGAAGACGCGCAGCTGCTGCCGCTTGCCTCCGTGTCGGAGACCGTGGCCGCCACAGCGCAGCGCCGCCCGCCACTGCAGCTGGCACCTGCTGCCGGTGCTGGGTGGTCATGACGCCTGCGATGCTGTCTCCGGCCAAGGGCGAGGCGTTCACAGGCGGAGGTGGGCCAGGGCAGGGGGGGTGAAAGAAAGCCGTGGGTGGCGCCCGGGCGCACTGCTCCAGGCCGTAAGGCTGCCATCCTAGTGAGTTAAGCATCACTCTTTGACAGCAACAAAAATGATCATGTTGGCATGCTGGGCGTGCTATCCGGATTGATAGGACAGGATTGGAGCGCATCCAGCCCCAAAACACCCCTCGCCGGCGCTGTGCACGGCCATCAAGCCATCGCGTGCACTGGAGACGCAATCTGCCTCGACTGGGTGGCAGTGGGATAGGCTGGCAGTGTGAACTCTCAGGCCCACAACGTCTGTTGCCAACCACACGCCGCATCGCTCCCCAGCACCATGCAGCAGCTGGCAAGCTCCACTCATCTGAGGGGCAGAGGGCTGGCGAGCATGCCCGGCCAGTCCAGGCCCCTGAGGCTGGCCAGGAGGTAAGGCGTGGCCTCAACCAAGCTTGTAGAACGAGGCATGATCTCCCGGGCCGAAGCGCCATGGCGGAGTGACCGCCAGCAGCGCCGCAGGGCACGCCGTGTGGGCGCGGGGCTTGCACCGCGGTGGCGGCAGCCCCGACCTATGCCCAACCCAACCGCGCGGCATGCTGTTTGTGCAGACGCATGGCATCTGTGCGTGCCGAGGGGGATGGCGGCTTCTTTGGTGAGCCGCGCTGGCATCAGCAGAACAGTGCCCATGCTGGCGAGCGACATCGCAATGTGTCGCACGAGGGGAGCGAGGCTTTGGTCTCAGAGATGAGCAGAAGCGCTGCAAACAGCGCAGGCCGTGGCGGGGAATGTAATGTCGTGTCATCCTGCTGATGCGGAGTTGCACGCACTTTGCTGCCGGGCCTGCCTGCGCCCCTCGCCTGCAGGCTCATTTGCCAAGACCATCAAGAGCGGCACGCAGATCATCAGTCGTGACAATGGCAAGCCCGGCACGACCTCCAAGAAGGCTGGCACTGGCACAGTGCGACGTGGCCTGGGCCGCGGCGGCCCCGACCCTTTCACAGGTGCAGCCGGATCAGTTTGCATCTGTCGCGGTGTTGCTGTACGAGGTCTCATCTTGCTTGCTTTCTCACCCACTTTGCCCCACGCTTGTGCACTCCCACAGTGTTTGTGGCGGGCGCCACGGGACGCCTGGGTGCACGAATTGTGCGCGAGTTGCTTGGGCAGGGCTTCAAGGTGCGGGCCGGCGTGCGCAGCGCTGAGAAAGCCGAGAATTTCCTCTCTATCGCCTCCAGCTATGGCCTGCTCAGCAAGGAGGAGCTGGGACGCCTACAGGTGCGGCGCAGCCCTGCCATGTATGGAGCCCATGTGCGTTCAGGAGGGCTGTTGTGACAGCGCTGGCACAGTCGGCAGTCGCGCAGGTGCATATCTGAAATTGTTTTGCCTGCCGGCTTTCCCCGCTTAAAACCACCAATGCAGGTTGTGGCTTGCGATCTGGAGAAGCCCGACACCATTGCACCCGCCATCGGCAATGCTGCCAAGGTGCAGCGATCGAGCGGCGGGCTGCTGACTTGCTTTCTGTGCCTGGTGTGATGGGTCGCGTGCCACGCTGTGCCCTGCCTCTTCACTGTCGACCCGTCACTGCGTCCCCCTGCCCCGCCTGCTTGTGGAACCTGCAGGTGGTGTGCGCCGTGGGCGCATCTGAGAGCGAGCTGGGTGACTTGTCAGCGCCGCGCCGCATCGATGGCGATGGCGCAACCCGGCTGGTGCAGGCGGCGACCACTGCCGGAGTGGACCAGTTTGTCCTGGTGACGTCTCTGGGCACCGGCAAGATTGGCTTCCCTGCAGGTGTGCAGCATGGGAGGCTGTGGGTCGTCTCTCCGCCTCCAAGCAATTCCACCTGGGGCAGCATCCTGTGCCGTCTGTTCTACCGCGTTGCTGCCTCGCCGCGTCCTTGCCCTGTTCCCCACGTGCCTGTGCCGCACGCTTCCCCCTTCAGGCGTGCTCAACCTGTTTGGTGGCGTGCTGGTGTTCAAGCGCAAGGCTGAGGAGGCGCTGGAGGCCAGCGGCCTGCCCTATGTCATCGTGCGTCCGGGCGGCATGGAGCGGCCGCGAGACGACTACAAGCTGACCCACAACGTCAAGCTGGCCACTCGGGACAAGCTGTTTGGCGGGCAGGTGTCTCGCCTGCAGGTGGCGGAACTGGTGGCCGCCGCTGTGGCCAACCCTGAGCTGGCCGAGAACAAGGTGCTGGAGGTGGTGGCCGAGACGGCGGCGCCAATGCGCAGCTACGACGAGCTGCTCGCGGTGCACCCCGCAGGTGCGAGGTGGTGGGGCTGGGATTGGCGGCGTGCTGGAGCCGTGCTCACTGGGGTGGATTGCAAGCGGGCACCACGGCAATGCGCCGGCGCATCAGAAACAACGTGCCACACCAGCCAGAGTTTTGCCTTGCAGCTGCCAGCTTGTGATTGCCTCCAACATGCACCTCTGTCATGGAATGTGCAGAGGAGACCCAGGAAGAGCGTGAGGCGGCCCGCGAGGCAGCGGCCGAGCTGGAGATGGCGGTGGATGCAGCGGTGCAGCAGGTGCAATGCAGCTGCTGATATGGAGTCGTACATTGTTGCATCACGCACAATTGTCCTGCTCCTGCTGGCCCCAGCTGCGGGTCCTGGGCCTGCCTCTTACTTGCATTGCCATCCATCCCGCTGCTGCTGCGCTGCGCAGATTGCTGCTGCCGAGGAGTCGCTGTCGGAAATCAGGGAGAGCATCAAGGCCGCCACGTCAAAGGTGGGTGAGAGTTGATGGGGCTGATGTGACCCAGGCAGGCACGCACACAGGAAGACATGCATAGAGCCAATGTGCTGCCAAGGGTGCCTGCCTCACTTCAAGAGTTGGGAGAGGCCAAAGTATCAAGCTTTGCTGCATTCAACCCTGTGCGACTGCCTCCATTGCCAATTGCCGCTGCCTGCAGGCCACCTCTCTGCGGCAGCAGGAGCAGATTGTGCGCAAGGAGCAGTCCGAGGTGCTGAAGAAGGCAGAGCGTGCCGAGAAGGAGGTGGGTCTAGGATGCAGTTGGGAGTGTGGATTGCTCGGTGTTGACCCGCTAAATTACGCTGATGTGCGGTGCTCACCTCACCCTGCCCGCTGCCCTGCTGCCCTTGCCTGTCAACAGCTCGCAGCGTTGCGTGCTACAGCCGAGAAGAAGGCGCTGCTGGCGACCGCTGCTCGCGCAGTGGTGTCTGCCGCTCAGCAGGCCCAGCGTGACGGCCGCCTGCTGACCAACCAGGAGATTGCCGCCATCAAGTATGTTGCCAATCGTCAGGCAGCTGATGTGATGTAGCACCTGTTTCTGCGCTGTCCAGCCTTACCAGCTGCCCCATTGACCTAGGAGCTTGCCCTTTCTTGCCCCGACAATTTGCCTGACTGCAGGCGTGGCGTCCTCAACCCTCCCAAACCTGTGGAGAGCAAGCCGCCGGCGGCCCCGGCTGTCGGCGCTGCAGCAAGCCTGGGTGGCCTGTTCGGTGGCAAGCGTGTGCCGGCGGCTGTTGAGGAAGAGGAGGAGGAGGTGGTGGTGGAGTCGCCGCGCAGGACCAGCGGCCTGGGCGGCCTGTTTGGCAGCTTTGGTCGCAAGGTGGAGGAGGTTGTTGAGGAGGAGCAGGAGGAGGAGGAGGAAGAGGAGGAGGCACCTGCGTCCGCACCCAAGCCCGCATTTGGCCTGTTTGGCTTTGGCGCCAAGCCACAGGCCGTGGTGGTTGTTGAAGAGAGGGTCGTGGTGGAGGAGGAGGCACCTGCGCCTCCTGCAGCCAGGCAGCAGCAGCAGCCGGCATTGAGCTTCTTCGGCGGCAGCAAGGCGCAGCAGCAGGAGAAGGCAGTTGCGGCCGCTGTCACAGCGGCGGCGGCGGCGGCCAACAAGGCGGCGAATGAGGCTGCATCCAAGAAGGCGGCGGATGAGGCGACAGCCGCCAAGGCGGAGGCCGAGAAGGCAGCAGTGGCCAAGGCGGCGGCAGATGAGGTGGCAGCAAAGAAGGCAGCTGAAGAGGAGGCTGAGCTGCTGGCGCGCAGGGCAGAGGCGGCGGCCAAGCGGCAGGCAGAGGAGCAGGCGGCTGCTGCCCGGCTGGTGGCAGAGGCAGCGGCCAAGAAGGCTGCCGAGAACGAAGCCCGCAGGTGGGAATGCGAGTCCGTGAGAACAACAGAATGCAGCCCGCCCCCAGCATGTGCTGCTGATGCTGATTTGTGGGCAGCCAAACCGTGATTTTGCTGCTGTTTGCAGACAACACTGCCCTTTCTGTCCTAAACTTGTCGCCGCCTGGTCTGTTCCTTGACTGTGCGCAGGGCTGCCGCCAAAAAGGCTGCCGATGCGGCCACAGCCAAGGCTGAGGCCGAGCGAAAGGCGGCCAAGAAGGCTGCTGCTTCTGCAGCTGCCGCAGCAGTGGCTGCACCACCAGCGCGCAAGCCTGCCGACACGCCCGAAAACGTTGCCGAGGCGCGCGCCTGGATCGCCGCCTGGAAGGACAGACAGCAGGGCGGTGCCACCCAGCAGCAGGCGCAGCAGCAACCGGCAGCTGCAGCGGACAATGTGCCTGCCAATGTGGCAGAGGCGCGTGCCTGGATCGCGGCCTGGAAATCTAAACAGAACTGAATTGGAGTGACTGCAGCATGGAGGGCTGGTAGCACTGCCCAGGAGAAGCCCATTCGCGGCATGCCACTGCAATTTTTGTCTCGAGAAAAGAAGACTAGCCTGTTTCCTCCCCGCTTTGTTTTTGCCAACAAGCACGCATGAGATGAGTCCGTCTAATCCCTGCCGAGTCCGACTTTTTTGCTCGGGGGACCAACAAGATTGACGCCTCCCCCGAGCACAGACTCTTTTTCACCGTGTGGGCTGTTTGTGTGTGAGCGATGCATGGATGGCATCACCGATGCATGGCATCACCACCACTGACGAGGCTGAGATCGGAGGTGCTTGGGATTCACACACGGCCCAGCCTGAATGCCGCACGCTCTCAAAGGATGCCAAACCATCGCTGTAGAATATATTCTACAGATGAAACAGTATCATGCATGTCCCTCATCTTGAGGGTGTCGGGAAGCGGGAGCACTCAACAGCTCCTCTGGATACCAGGACTGTGGCGGTGAGGACACCGCTGGTGCCGCCCGCGCATTCTGCTTCTGCAGTAGGGGCACACCTGCCGGATGCAGGGTTTCAAGCAGCTGTGGGCCGGACTGGTGCCTGTGGTTGGTGAGGCACGCCCGGCAGCCAACCTTGGACCGCTCGGACCGCTTTGTCGTCCAGGACGGGTTGCAGGCGAACCTGCATGCCTTCAGGGGCAACGGCAGGCGCTTGCAAGAGCAAACCGCATCACTGGAGCCTAGGTAGGCGCCGCATGAGGAGCCGCCCGCCGTCCTGCCGCAGTACGTACGGCGGGCGCGCCTCCCAGATCTGCATGGCCAAGAAGGGAAACCAGGCCACCGCGGGCACCCCGATCGATGCTGGAGGGGCCTGCAAGCTGGCGCCGCACGTAGTTCGAAACCGGTCTGTGGCCGCCTCCTTGCTGGAGCAGGGGCAGGGCGAGGAGAGCCAGAAGCAGTTGGCTGCCGGAGCGGGCAAGAAGATGCGGCACAGGGACGGCCATAGGATGGAGCAAGTCTACAGGTGGGGGTGGGTGCCTAGCGAGGAGAACCATAGCGAGCGTGCAAAACCATAGCGAGCGTGCGGGAGGCTCCCGTGCAGCCTCGGCTCCCTAGCACATAACCAAGCGACAACCGCCGCCGCCACTGCTGCACCGCGGGTTGCCTGCCCAGGTGCCGCCCACTTGTGCCCCCTGACGTCCAGGTACCGTGGCATCGCCACTATAGCGGCCATCCCGGTGCTGCTCATTGCGGCAGTGCTGCTGCTCATGCCGCGGAGCTCGCCTTACGCCACCACCGAGTTCAGCCGCTCGCAGCCTTTCTCGCGCTCACACTTTGAGGACGGCAGCAAGGGCGGTGGTGGCAACGGCAGCGGCGGCGAGCGCTACGCCATTGTCATCGACGCCGGCAGCACAGGCAGCCGGGTGCACATCTTCAAGTTCCTGGACAAGGGCGGCAAGCTGGAGCTGCAGTTTGACAAGTTTGACCAGCTCAAGCCGGGGCTCAGCTCATACGCCGACGACCCACCCAAGGCGGCTCAGAGCCTGGCGCCGCTGCTGGAGCTGGCAGAGGCCACCATTCCCAAGGAGCAGCAGGCTGCCACATCCATCATGGTGGGCGCCACCGCCGGCCTGCGCCTGCTGCCTGATGGCAAGGCCGACATCATCCTAGAGGACGTGCGTGACTGGCTTCGCAAGCACCCCTTCAAGGTCAGGGTTGCGGGCAGGGTGGAGGGTGGCTGCCAGGGGGAACACCCACGTGGTACTGCTGCTCGAGGAGAATCATCGAGTCAGCAAACCTGCACGCCTTTGCACCAGGGACCTGCGCTGCCCTGCAGTGCTGTTGCCTGTGGACCTGCCTGCCACCATCATCCTGTCCCTTCCGCCCTGCTACCGGTCCCATCTGCAGTTCCAGGACAGCGACGTCAAAATTCTGAGCGGCGTAGACGAGGGCGCCTTTGCCTGGCTCACCCTCAATTATCTGCTGGGACGGCTGGGCGGCAGCGAGCAGGACACTGGTGGGTAGGCGGGCGCGGGTATCAGGTTATCTGGTTGTGGCGGGTATCAGCAGGTGGAAGCCAAGGTAGTGGGGTGATTGCAGCAGCTGCTGCGATGCCTGTTGTTACTCTATTTTCCTTCCACCTTACATCAACCTGCGCCGCTGCCTCTCCCCTCACCTGCCTCCGCCAGTGGCCTCCATCGACCTGGGCGGCGGCAGCGTGCAGGAGGCGTATGCGATGACGGCGGCAGAGGCCAAGGCGGCGCCCGACAAGCAGTATCTGACGGAGCTCAAGAGCGGCGGAAAGACTTACCATGTCTACGTGTACAGGTGCGGCTAGCTGCTTGGGTGACGGAGCCGCCACAGGCATTGTGAGAGCAGCTGACTGGCTTGCTGGTCGAGGAGAGTGGCTGCTGAAACGAAACCTGCAGATTGCAAGTGGGAGCAGTTTCTTGATTACTGGCTGCCCACTCTCCCTGCTGCTGCAGTTACCTGGGGTATGGCCTGATGGCGGGACGTGCCGCGGTGCTGAGCGAGGAGGGCATGGAGGAGGGGCACCCATGCGTGCCCACCGGCCACACTGGCACTTATGAGTACGCGGGGAAGACGATGCAGATGAAGGCGCACAAGGTGACCATCGCGATGTTCATTGTTGGGGCATGTGCTGCAGGGGAGATGATGAGTAACTTGATGAGTAACTTGACCAAGTCTGCCACCATGGCCACAGCGCTGTCCCCACGCACACTCTCGCCTAGCCAGTTCTCCTACACACTCACCTGGCGCTGCCTGCACCCCCGCTCGTCTGCAGGACGGCCCCTCCCAGGAGACGTGCGAGAAAGTGGTGCTGAGCGCGCTGAAGCACCAGGCCGAGTGCGGTGCACCCCAGCTGCAGTGCACCTTCAACGGCGCCTGGGGTGGGCCCCGCGTGCCCAAGGTCTTCTACATTTCATCTTACTTCTGGGACCGTGCCACCGATGCAGGTGAGGGCTCAGGGGAGGTAAGCAGCGGGCAGCGAGCCAGGCACAGCCTGACGCCTTCGTTGTGCCTCTGCACCCTGTCGCACAGGCCTGATCCGCGATGCCAAGGCCAACCAGCAGGACATCAAGCCCTCAGAGTTTGGCGGCCTGGCCGGCAAGGCCTGCTCCACCGCGCTGGCCGAGCTGGGCGCCGCCTTCCCCGCAATCGCCGACGAGGTGCGCCCCTTCTTCTGTCTGGACCTGGCGTACGCCCACACCCTGCTCACCAAGGGCTTCAAGATCCCGGAGGACGCATCCATCCAGCTAGTGAAGCGGGTGGAGTACAATGGCGACCTGATCGAGGCGGCCTGGCCGCTGGGCGCTGCCATCAACGCGTTGGGCTGAGACAGGTTGGGCGCCTGGCCCCGCGCAACTGGCCACCCGCCCACACCCATGCGACCCAACTGCTTTGCTCTGTTCTTGCTCTGCTTCCTTCCCTCCTCCCCGCACAATACATTTCTTATGCTCCTCTATGCTGCTTGTTTCCTCCAGGTGCTTTGAGACAACACTGGTAATCTATCCTTGCTTGTGGATGGATGCATGTTTGCAAAATTGTTTGCACTCTTGGCTGATGCAGCTGCCAGCTCAGGCAGCATGCAACAGGTGCAGCAAGTGGGGCACTGGCTGCTGCTGCGAGGCCCACGATCTGGCCTGCCCTGAACGCTTGTTGTTGTGCATCTGGCTCCTGCCGAATGCAGCAGGTGCCCCTTAGCAGGACAAAACCACATGTGTAGAAACAAGCATGACAACCTCAACTAGCTCGCTGCAGGGCCGCTGCTGCTGCCACGCAGTGCCAGCACGCTGCGCAGCTCCTCGGCCACCCGCGCCAGCTCCTGCCGCCGCTGCGCCTCCTCCTCATTACGTGGAGGCCGCTTGGTGGCGCTGCCACCCTTGGGTTGCCCTGCGCCGCTGCCACCTGCTGCGCTGTGGTGCAGGCTGGGGTCTGCAAGGATGAAGGAGCCGCGGGCGCGGTCCAGACTTAAGATGCGGAACTTCTGCAGCTGGCCGATGCGGCGAGCGGTTGGGCGAGAGCACTGCCTCGCGGGCAGAAAGCCCACAACGCCCGCCACGCCCACAGAGAATCCGCGGTATATTGCGTTCAGGATGCGGCCTGCAAATGCAGGTTTGCGCGGCGGCGCAAGTGAGGCACGGCGAGGGGAGACCCACGCGCGTGGTGAGCAGGCCAGGGACTATAGCAAGCACGACAGACGCCTGCCACGCTCAGGCAGGTTGAACCTGTGCACCCCTGCACCACGCCATCGAGCCATTCCATGGTTTCTTCGCCATGCGTCATGGAGCCATGCCCCACCTTTAACCATCTCGCCACGCTTGTACCGCCCCTCCAACTCATTCCAGACGGCTGCCATGCGCCGCGCCGCCGCTGCCTGCACGCCGCTGACGAGCATGTCCCCTTCGAGCGTGCCGACAGACTCCAGAAACACCTGCACCACATCTCCCTCCCGCAGCTCGCCTGCACGGAAGGAGCCCAGGCAGTGGAGACACCAGCAGCGACTTGGGCTGGGCCATGACAAGAAGCATTCGGGGCCAGCTTGGCCAAGCAAATGCACAGCGCCATGCGCTGCTGGCGCAACAGGCAACCCTTGATGCCAGCCTGATCGGCAGGGCAGCCCGCGCACCTGGGCTGCGAGGCTTGTCGTCCTCTACAGTGGTGCCGACGACGCACTCTGGGGGCAGGTCTGCGCGGGCCACTCGGGCGGGCAGCAACCCCGTATCGAGCGTAACTGTGCGGCGTCCCATCTCCAGTATCTGCGCCCGAATCATGTGCCCCTCTAGGATGTGTGTGGGCAGCGATGAGTTGTGCATGCGCAACAGTTCCAGCTCTCCCTGCAGTCAGCCACCGATTGTGCAGGTGGCACAAAGTGGTTGCTTGGTTGGCTGTGGTTGTTTAAGGGAGAATCCTCAGCATCCTGAGTTGTGGCTGCATTTCAGCAGCCATGCCATTGTCAATGCTGAGTGGTTGCAGGTGCTGCGCCCAGCTTGCACCCAGCCGCCGATGGCCTACTTGCAGCTCCGACGGCGACGCCTCCTTGGGGCTGGCGGCGGGGACCACCTGCAGCTTGGCCAGCCTCTCGTAGTAGGGGCGCATGATGGGGTCGTCGCTGGGGAACATGGACAACTCGCTGTGCTTCGCAGTTGCCACGCCTGCCCGAGCTGCAGTGGACTCTGCGCGGGTGCCCAGTGCCCGGGCCGCTCGCCCTAGAGCCTGACGCAGCGCGATGCCGCTCATCGCAAGCACGCCCTGGCGCTGCAGCGGGAGCTACGGGCGGGTTGGGGCGGTGGCCGGGCCGCGAGCCCACGACCTGCTACCGCTCCAATGATGGCTAAGAGGAGCTTCATCGGTGGTAAAAGATTCCTGAGCTTGGTGAAGGGTGCTGAGCTGGCGGTGCGGCTGCCTCTGGCCTGGTCTGGCCTGTGTAACAAGCCGATCGGGCGTCTTTGCTTCTTGCACAGTTAAGTGGAGGGTGATCAGGACATATCTATGCAGGGCCGCCCAAGTTTCTAAGAGCCGCAGGGCGTAGGCCTTTGCTTTGCAGCCGGGAGCGGCTCGGCAGGGAGCCAGGATGGCGCGGGAGGTGGAGGAGCAGTACGTTCTGCGCGTCAAGGACCCCGTGCTTGCCGAGGAGCTTAGGTATGGCCTGCCGTCAAGCCGCACCGCCAGCCCGCCAGCCCGCCCGCCCCCTCGTGTTGTGTGCCCATCTGCACGCTTGGCAGTTCCTGTTCACTCCTGGCTGCTGCGCGATATCTGTGACGCAGGGCAGCGCTACGGCAGCCGGGGCCGCTTGACCCCGTCACGCAGCGTGCGCGCCTCGAGTTCACCGACAGCGACCGGCATGGCCACTTTGTGTGGGGTGACCGCCGATTTCCCGTCACCGTGCTCAACCTGCCCAGCGTGGTGGAGAGCTATAAAACTCTGGATGACATCAACCTGGTGAAGACGTGTGACATCGGGCAGGTGCGCAGTCAATGAATGGTGTGCTTGTGGTGAATGGGTGGGGTGCTTGCGGTCCAGGGCCCGCCATCAGTGGCTAACCGCCCACCCCACCCCACCCTGCCACCACGCCACGCACTCTGCAGGTGTTGGTGGTGGGAGACGACCCGGGGCTGGCAGCAGAGGCGGCAACGGGGGAGGCGCGAGATGGCATCACGCCACCAATGCGCAACGCACGTGAGCGCATCTTCCGCAAGCCAATCGACGTGCCGCCGCACGTGGTGCAGAAGGTGGAATATGACCTGTTGACCATCCTGGCGGTGAGCAAGCCTGCGGCTGGAATTGAAGGGAGAGCAGGTTGGGTGTGCAGCTGTGCACAGCCTGCCCCTGCCACCATTCCCTGTGTCTGCCAGCGGCTGCACCGTGTGCTCATCTTGCCTCGACTGGCTGGGTGCAGGGCGGCGCTCCCGAGGGCCTCAAGTTTGTGGACACTGAAGAGGAGTGGGTGGTGGATCCGGCCACGGGGCAGTGCGCGTGGCTGCCTGTGCGCCGATGACCGAAAGTTATACAGCGCTCTGGAAAACAGGCCCTGAGTTGTATGCAGCTTGTACCTTATCACGTACCATGTTTTCATTCATTCTTGCTCCTTCCCGCCTCGTTTTTCTCTTTTTCCGCTTCAATTTTCAAGGAAACACTGCCGACGCCAGCGCCGACGCCAGCTGGCCAGTGCCGACGCCAGCTGACGCTAGCTCACCCGCTGAGTTTCCCAGCTCCAGTATCAGGTGGACCCCGGTTAGACTTCTGAATGTCGGGGAGGGTCCTGCTGTCCGCTGGGGTGACCGCTGACCGCGGGAGCTGAACGCGCCGCTGCGGCGCGCTGCCAGCCTGTCGGCGCACCTCCCCAGACATCCTCCCACTTGCATCATTCTTCTTCTTCGACTCCTTGTGGTCGGTTTGCGGTTGCCAGGGCCTGTGCGGCGGTCGCGACCATAATCCTATGCACGCGCAGTGCCTGCCTGTTGCCTACAGCCGGCCCTCTGCGCAAGATGTCTTGCTGGCGCCGCAGCCCGCTAGCCGGCGCCAGCGCTGCGGTGCCCAGCTCGCCCGACGGTGGCTGCCCGCCGGCGCTGTGCATGCGGTGCCTGGCAGACGGTGCCCAACAACAGCCGCCGGGAGCCAGCAGCCTGGACCACCGGCTCATGAACCACAGGTGAGCAAAGTATACAGCGCTTGGGGACCCTGCGGCAAGCAAGCGGCATGCACCCTGGGACGAGAGTACACAAAGCCGCGATGAAGTTGTGGCTGTGGCCCCTGCAGTCGCCGGTGCTGGTGCTAGCTGGTTTTTTTCTTGAAGAGCTGGCCACGGTGCGCCAGCTGCTGGACTCCATTGGTGGGGAAACCGTTCGTGTGCTACCCACCACTCCAGCTCTACTGCGTGCACCGGCTTACGAGGCGCTGCTGGCGCCGGAGCCGGCCTGGGACCGCCCTGCACCGCCCGAGTGGCAGCCCGGCGGCGGCTGGGGCCAGCAGCGCATGGCGCTGATGGCAGGCATAGCGTAAGTATCTGCTGGGGTGCAGTGCCAGCCAGCCATGTGGCAGCGCATTTACGTCCTGCTGCTCGCCTGCGGTCATCTTTGAGCCTTTGAGCGCTTGCAGTCGTGGGGCATTAACCCACTCTCCGTCGGGCTGTCGCTGGCGCAGGGAGGAGGGAAGGCAGATGGTGGTGGACCTACTGGAGGAGGCGGGGATGCCTGGTGTGGTGCCCGCTGTGGTCACACCTGCCACCCAGGACGCAGTGCTGGGCGAGGTGTTGGCAGCAGCACTCAAGGCCCACCGCCAAGGCAGACCCAGCTCAAGCAGGGCAGCATCCACCTTGGCAGCAGAATCTCCTGCAGCGGCTGTGCAGCAGGAGGCGGAAGTGGACCTGCCAGTGTCCTTTGTGGATGAGCTGCCGCCGTTGCAGGCGCTGGTGCCGGAGGTCTGGCAGCCGGCAGAGGCTGACAGCAAGGCAGAGACAGCTGGCGTCACCGGCTCTGAGGTGGTGCAGGCTGAGTTTTTCGAGGCGCCACGGCACCGGCCGGAGGAAGATGATGACTGCCCTGCAGCTAGAGCAGCATCAACAGCGGCGGCACAAGAGGCGGTGGAAGTACCGCTCGACATCATTGACAGCATCGTGGCTGACAGTGAGCGCAGCGTTGTGGACCTTCCTTTGGATGAGATGGACAGCGAGGAGCTGCTGGCAGCGGCACGGGCTGCAATGGGGCTGGATGAAGCGGAGCTCCAGAAGCTGGTGGATGATGCCGCTGTACAGACCGCTTCTGCTTTGAACGTGCCCTTTGTGTCTGGTAGGGCTGGTTCTGCGGTGGGCCCCAGCAGCAGCGGCGTCAGCAGGAAGCCGTGGGAAACTCCTGGGGCGAGCCAGGCTAAGCAGCCAGGCACCCAGCAGCACAAGGGCTTCGGCAGCACGCCGTTGAGGATTGGCCTCAAGGCACACAGCAAGACGGGCAACGAGACAGGCAGCAAGGCTGGCAGCAGCAATGGCAGCAGCAGTGTTCGCCGCGGCACTGCTGGTGCCTCCAGCCAGGACCGAAATTCATCCAACTCAGCGTCGCCGCCACCAGCTGCCACGCAACGAAGGAATAGTGCAGCCAAGGCACCGGGCGCTACCCCTGCTACTGCCAGCCACAGCATGGGCGGTGATGACTCAGTAGCAAGGCCGGGGGGCAAGTCTGAGGGCACCATCATCCCTCCTGTTGAAAGCTTCGTCCTGTCGAAGTCGCAGCTCAAGGCGGTAACTGAGAAGCACGGGCTGGACTTTGAGGAGCTTTTGCGGGGCCTGTCGGAGCGGGGTATCCCGCTGTCCGACTGACAGATCTGGCTTCCTTTTTATTTGCTGGGGGGCTTAAGTGTTAATGCAAAATTACTAATGCAATCATGATGCCTTATTGTGTAGCGTTCGCTTGTGCTGAAAATCACAGTCAACCCTGGGCCCTGCTCGCTATGCGCAGAGCGGGAGCCTTTCCATGCCGCTGCATTTGGCGGGAAAATGCACGTGAATTAGAAATAGAGAACTGGGGCGCGCTCGTGATGAGAGGTGCAATCATGACAGGTAGGTTAAGTACAATCAGCGCTGCCGCCGACTCGGGGGCCGGCCAACTGTCATCAGCGGCTTTGACATGCCTGCGTCAGAAGAAGACTCTCCGCTCCTGGCGTGCCGTCACCATGGCTGAATATACATCAGCAGGCCAGAGCTGCTTGCCAGGGTCCACATCCTCCACCCGCCAGCTCTCCCGGCTGCAGTAGGACAGCATCGCGAGCGCGCCCACGCGTTCCTGGCCGTTGCTGCCTTCATCCACGTTGCCACTGCTGGCACTGTCCTCCTTGGAGTGCGCAGGAGCAGGTCCTGCGGCTGCTGCATTGTCGGTCGCAAGCAGGCGCCGTCGGCGCTCGCTGTCATCAGATGCAGCCGAGGACGGCGCTCCCCAGTTGCCAGCAAAGAAGAGCAGTGGGCCATAGTCACAGGAGGGTAGCGCGATGGACTGGGCATTGTTCGACGGGTAAATGTTCCACCACGTTACGTTTGAACCTGCAGTTAAGAGACAAGGCACAAGTGAGAAGCAATGAGAGGGTCTGGAGAGTCGCTGGATGATCACATGTCCTCGTGGCAACCAACCTCTCCAGCCCCGGCACGCACCGCTATGTGCGCCACGGAAAGAAGCGCCGCCAGACTGGAATGCACGCGTGGCCCTGCCCATGTCGATATTGCTGAGCAAGTTGTTGTGGGTGCCTGCATGGTCGAGCAGAGAGACACCAGCCCAGCTGCACGCTCCTTAATTCATGCCGCCACAACTGCTGTGCTGCAGGAGCTGCCGGCTGCGAGCTGTTCAGCGCAGAGCGACGGCCACCTGGCTGTTGCAAGCGCAAGCAGACTGAGCAACCAGATGCTGCCAGCCCCACCAACTATATTCCCTGCCGCTGGCACCTTACCTCCGCGGTGGCTGTCAATGTTGACGTCTGTGCCCCGGCCATTGGCGTAGACGCAGGACTCGGAGAAGATGGCCAGGGAGAGGTCATGGAACCAGCGGAAGTTGATCACAAACCTGTTTGCAGGAGAGACGGCAGCGGCAGGCGCAGGGTGGATGTCAGCAGTGAGCCAGCCCTGGCAGGCAGGCAGCCTGCCCACACCTCTGGCTACCTGCACCTAGGAGGCCTTCCCACCTGGTCATCAGCACATTGCTCGACTGTTGAATCCAGAGGCCATGGTGGCCGTTGCGGTCGTTCATGTTGGGAGCCGACCTGCAGGAAGGGGAGGAGCTTAAACCAGGTAGTCAACACGAGGTCAAATCGGAGGCGTCAGTCCTCCCATGTTGAAGCCCCCGCCTGCATATCTTCCCTGCACGCCTGGTGCAGCAGGCCAAGGCCAACCTGGTCTTGGTGATGTCAGTCTGCACGTCGGTGACTGTTACGAAGTCTGCACCATTCACTATGAACGCATTGTCTGCATTCACGACCCGAATCTGCAGCAGCCACACCCAGGCTATCAGCAGCATGGAACGGCACACCTGGAACATGCACACCCTGCCGCCGCCCCACACCTGGCGCATCCAGCAGTTGACGCCGCTATAGATGCCCAGCGCATTGTAGCCCTTCACATTCAGGTGATCAAAGTAGGAGCCTGCAGACGAAGACAGCCATGGTGATTTGGGCATTCAAGCATGTGCACAGCCAAACTGGCTGGGTCGCACAACTCCTTTGCCTGCCTCCAGCAATGCGAGGGCACCACAAAGACCTTGCACTCACTCCAGGGGAACTCAATGTTCAGCATCTCAAATCCGCTGTTCTGGACAGTGGGGTTGAAGTTGTGCACCACCGGCTGCAGTTTAGGGGGGCCAATGAAAGATGGTGAAACTGATAACAGCGAGGCAAGTGCCTACCGGCCCTGGACTGAGGTCCAAGCCATGGGTCCAGCCATTGCCTTGCTCACCTGCCATCTCAGGCGTACATCATATGGGAGGGAGCGCACAAACTCAACCCAGTTGGGCCCAACGGCAGACACCCTGCAATTCACAGAGAGATGATGGCCTTGGTTGGTCCATGATATGCTTGCTAGTTTTCGTCATGCCACAGGCTGTTCAAAAGCCTGGGTGTTAGACACCATCTACCTGGAGACAAAGCGGATATGATCGTCGTTGGGATAAACACCTGCATGCCAGCAAGGTTGTGTGTTGCTTGCAGTGAGCTGAGGCAAGCCGGGAATGGTTGACTGCACCGGCTGCAGCAGTGCGCATGCAATCAAACTCCATCCCAACCTTGCATGGATTCCCCGCTCACCGCCATTGCGCCCGCTGTCAGCAATATTCTCTCCGTACAGATAGGCGTCAAGGGTGCCATCCAGAGCAAGCCCTGGGGCACGCTCCCCGCCGCTGCTGCCGCTGTCATCTTCGGGGTCGGCCAGCAGCGCATTGGCGGCAAAATGCCCCACAGCCAGCAGCCATGGATCCATGCCCAGCGGGTTGGTGGCGTTGGGCTCAAACCACTGCGCCGGCACCTTGTCTGGGTTGGCAGCCAGGGCCTCTGCCTGCTGGGCCTCTGCCACAAACGAGGCGCTGAGGGCAGCTTGGAGGGCTGGGTCATCAAACAGGCGTGCCACCAGCGGCACCTCGTCTCCGGACGGTGCAGGAGCCGACGCCTGCCGCAGCCCGCGTCGCGAGTTCTGCTGCCGATCGACTTGCTCGCTGGCCAGCAGGCCGCGTCGCCGCCCATTCCGGTTGTTAGGCGCGGTCACAAAGATGCGCAGCCACTGCCCCACCTTGATTTTGCTGGTGGAGGCCACCTGCAAGCATGCAGGATAAGAGGTGCGGCTACCAAACATCAGCAGTCCTGACCTTCAACCACCATGCATTGCTTCTAATGCAAGGTGCCTCCAGTTGCTTGATCTGAGTGCTTGAAAGGGTTGCCTGATGCCTGCAGCTTGCTCACCGTAACGCGGCGGCTGCCCTTGGGCACAGTGGCCGTGATGGTGGTCACAAAGTTGCGAGTGTCCTTGCTGTCAGGGTTTTTGCCCAGGATGCTGCACACAGCGGGCAGTTAGGCAGACAGATGTTGATAGCAGCATGGTGGCTGGTGGCGCGCATTGGGGCGCCAACTGGGGCCGGTTTCATTCACTCTGCCCGATTGGATGACTGATAGAATGGCAGCAGAGCCTTGGAGCCCTCACGTGAGCCAGGTGCCACCAAATGCCCAGGCCTGGCCGGTGCCATACACCTCCGCCAGGCCAAGGGGAAAGACAAGGGTGGTAGAGCCTACGCCTGCGCCTCTCAGCACCACGTTGCTCTGGCTGATGGTGATCGTCTTTGTGATCTTGTAGCGCCCCGCTGGCACCAGCACTGCCACTCCCTGGCCAGTGATGGCTGCCTCTTTGGATGCGGCATCCACGGCATTTAGGAAGGCATTGCTGTCATCTGCAGGCAGGAGCCGAAGGTAGTTTGAGGAAATGCATCAGCGGGCGAGTGTCTTTGAGACGCCTGCCCTCCCCAATCTGCTGCAACCGCATTCAGTACAGGCAGCCATAGGTTCTCTGCAACATGCATCTGGCTCCGAGCACGCACGATGCAGTGGCGTGCCTCTCACCCGCCCTGCCGTCTCCGTTGGCGCCATAGTCCCGTACATTATACTTGGCGGGGTAGGTGGGGATGGCCTGGGCATTTGCTGCATCGAGTGCACGCACCCATAGCCAAGCAGGTAAAGCGAGAGCTGGGTCAGACTGTCATTCAGGTTTCCCGTTGGATAGGGATCCAAAGCTTGGCAGTACAACACACCTGCAAAGCCCGCCTGGCTGAAGTCAGGCAGTCGCTGGCCAGAGGACCACAGCTCGCCATTGCGTCCCCACAGCGATGAGGTCTGGGCATTTGGCGGCAAAGATGGCCCTGCGGGAGGAGGCCGTGGGCTGGGTGGCGGAGGGTTTGGGGGGCGTGGGCTAGGAGACGGACTGGGGGGACGTGGAGAAGGCGGTGGGCTGATGGCGGCGGGCGGCGGGGAGAGTGGGAAGGTGTTGCCGCCCACGGAAGGTGGGCTCAATACAAAAGGGTTGGAGCTGGAGCAGCACGGCAGGGGAGCACATCTTATCAGTCAGAACCTTGTCTTGCTGTCTCTGATGCAAGCTTTCTCCACTTTCGCGCAAGCTTTCTCCACATTCGCTATGATTGTTTGCCTTCCAGTAGTAAAAAGCCGCTGCGAACACAGCAGGCGCTAACCTGTTTGATTCGGGGTCCAACAATGGTTGGCACCTGCAGACACAGTTGCCACAAGTTGTCATGGCCGGTTTGGCGACCAATCCCCGAGGCATCGGCAGACGGCGAGCTTGCTACTGCTGCTCACCTGTAGCCAAACTGCAGGCTCTTGCGGATGGTGGGGCAGGGGTCATCAAAGATGGCGTTGACCGCGGGCACCATGCAGGCCACCTGCCCCACGCATGCGGCGGACATGATTCTGCGGCAGCGGCAGAGCAGTAGCACTTTGGATGGAGCTAGGTGCAGCACTTGGGCTGCTGCTCTCTAGCAACCCAATGTCAGACCAAGCAGCAACTGCCCCCGCGTTTTCAGGACAGATACGAGATGCGGGCCCCAGTAACTGATGCGTGGCAGGCCAGCTATTGCTGGTGCAGCAACTCAGTTTGCAAGCAAGACGCAGCCCTCACGTGTAGCTGAGTGAAGAATTGCAGCGGCCCTCCACGTTGCCATAGATGGCGTTCTCCACTCGGGTGATGAGCCACCCAGCATCCAGGCACCCCGCCAGTGCCACCTCGCCCTCCTGCACGCTTACCAGGGCATCTGCACGGCAGCAGCACCATGCCATCGCCCCTCAGCTGTTGTGGTTACCAGGTAGGGGCAGGGGCAGCCTGCAGCACATTAACAGCACGCCAGCATAGCAACATATCACCACACCTGTGAACCTGCTCCAGTCAATGTTCACCGGTAGATCATCATCGGGCAGCGGGTCACTGCCTTCAGTGGGCGGCGGCGGGCTGCTGCTCTCTGTGCAGGCGCCGCTGAGGCAGTGTTGCCCACAGAAGCGGTCCGTGTACCCGCACACGCCCTGCGCAGCACGAGGGTGGTGCAGCAGGGAGTGCCATGCCAGTCTATGTGCCGCTGGTTTGTCCCCTGCCACTTTCAGTCCCTGCTGCTGCGCAAGGAGGCAGGCAGGCCATGCCACGCATGCATCAGGTTGATGCACTGCTGACCAGGGCTCCCTCAACTCACCCAGATGGCGCAGCAGGCAGTGGAATCTTGGCAGGGTGTCGTCTTGCCGCAGGGCAGCCAGTAGTCGTCGAGCGAAGCGGCATTTGCAGTTTTGTTGGCAGTGTCTGCAGGGCACCGATGCGTTGGATGCAGTAGGATGGGTCAACAGGCGCTCGCAGACCGCTGCCGCCTGATGCCCCTGCAGGCGGCACCGCACCGGCGCCCGGCCTGACCGCAGTGCGAGCCGTCCGGCCCGCTGCTACTCGGAACACCCCTCATGCGATACACGGCCGCGGCCCACCAGTCAGCACGGTCTTGGCTCGCGCGCCAGCCGCGACCATGAGAAGGCACACCAGCGCAAGCGCGGGGCTGCTGCGGGGCGGGAACATGATCGCACTACCCCAAAGAGCTTCCTACAGTGCTCAGCCCGTGCTCCAAGGCCGCCAACAACCCGGCAGTTTCTACAGCCGCGGCACAGAGGCGGCGGCAACGCCACAGGAATGTCGGCGATCAGGTTTACAGAGCATCAGCACAAAAGTTGGGGAGGTGGGCGGTCCTGCATTTCAACCTCGGCTGTCAGTTATTCTTAAACTTCTACCGCCAGCTGTGCGCGGTGCAGGAGCTGGCCTGGAGCGTAACCGTCAATCGCTATCCGGCCGAGCATACTGTCGGTCTAATTGCAGGCAGGCTTGTGGGCTGCAAGGCGCCAGCAAGGGCCCTTGCCCGCCACGACCCCACCTCTTTCAAGAGCAGAAATGTAGCATGTTATGCTAACTTGGGCAACAGGTGCATTGGGCGGAAGAATTTGGGGCGCGAGCGGGCGGCAGTAGGCATGCAGTGAGGAGCGGCCGGCAGTACGCGGGCGGTGAGGACTCGACTTGTATGGCGGCAAGAGCTCAGACTGCTCATGCCATTGCGGAGAGAACACAAGAGAACACAGTTAGAGGGAGCAATTCTACTTCACGTCCAGACTTTGATGGTGCCATCTACGGAGGAGGTGAGCAGGCAGTCGCCCTTGGGGTGCACCGCCAGGCTGCAGACAACGTCCGTGTGCGCCTGGAACGACTGCACCAGCTCCGCATCGACCAGCTCCCAGCATAGCACCCGCCCATCCTCTGCACGCCAACACAAAAAGGGGAGGGGCTGCGCGCTGACCTGAGCACGAGTCATTGGGCACAGCAGGCTGCGCCCAGTTGAGGAACGTGAATGCAGCTGTCACAGTGTCCCAGCACACTGCTCTCGCAACCGCGCCAGCGCACCCGATGACCCGACAACATATGCATCAGAGGGAGTGAAGCAGCAGTCCATCTTGAAGGTGCCGTGTTTATGGCCTGGAGCAGCAGACAAACAAGGCAGCAGCACAAAGCTGTGGGCAGCTGCTGCTTGGGGTACGTGCTCAGTGCTTCACCTTTCATCAACGGGGCCGCACAGCCTGCGCACACTGATGCCAGGAACTGCCTACCTGTGTATTCCGCAAGCAGGTCGCCATCTGCCCTGTCCAAAAGCCGGATCGTGCCATCCATGCAAGCTGCTAGCACGCAGTTGTGGTCGTGGCTGACTGCGACAGCAGCAGCAGCAGTAGGCAGGGACCGTAGCATGCACCCCCAAACACGCAGTCACACGGGGGGGAATGTAGCTAGCAGCGAATGCATTCAGGTGGGCAGGCAGACCAGGGCGGGGTTGCTGCACGCACCCTTGACGCAGGTGATGGGGTGGTGCAGCTCGTCGGTGAAGAGGCGACCCATGCGCACGTCAAACCGCCGCAGGCTGCCATCCACGCTGCCCGCTAGGATCTCGGCACTGCGTAGCAGCAGGAAATGAGGAAAGGCAGAGGTCTGTCATTTGTCCAGCTTGCATTGCATGGGACAGCCAGGCACTGAGACTGGTCCTGCCTTACCGTTCCGTCACTGCGACAGATGTGACCGAGTCTCGGCAGTCCTTCATCACCTGGATGGCGTCGATGGAGCGAGAGCGGCAGTCCCATACCTTGACAGCAGCATCATAGCCGCCGCTCACCAGCACGTCGTTGTTGGGGCTGAGGCAGAGCTGCGATCGAACCGGGGAGGGCCAGCAAGCTGGGCTGGCTGAGGTGGGTGATGGCATGCAAACTGGCATGCGGCAGCAGATGCGAGCATTGGTGACAACACAGCACATTATAACAACAACCTTCCTTCCTCACTGTGTTGATGTAGGCATCGTGCCCACGGAACTTGCGGATGATGTTGCCGGTGGAGACATCCCAAAGAAACACTTGACGATCGCCGCCGCACGAGGCAAACCTACGGCATGGTGGTAGCGCCGGCGCAGGTGATTGGAGCAGCTGAATGGACGTTGCCCTGGAGAGGCGCGGCCCTGCCCAAAGGTGGAACCTGCCAGGCTCCCCACTGAACATGCCATGTATTGCATGGCTTGGTTCATCCAGCCAGCCATCAAAGCGGTTCATCCAGCCAGCCATCAAAGCCTCAATGCCTCACTTGCTGTTATCGGAAACAACTGCCGCGTCGCGAACATCGTATCCATGCCCTGTGTACACCTTGATGGGGATGCCGCGGTGCGGGTTCCACAGCCGCACGGTACGGTCCTGTGGCCACAATGGGTGGTGTGGGGTGGTGTGGTGGAGGGCATGCATGTGCGAGGCCGGTGGCAGCAGGCGGAGGGATTCGCACGTGAACAGCAGGGCAAGCGACTGGAGGGACAGTTTATCCATCGCGGCGGCGGCAGCAGGCGCACCTTGCCGCAGGACAGGCAGTAGGTGCCCTGCATGTTGAACCGCACCGCCAGAACTGGGCCCTCGTGCCCCCTCAGACAGTGTGTTTCGCTGCTGGGCAGCTTCTCATTGGGAGGCAGCAAAGACCCAGGGGCGGGTGCCGGACCCAGCGGCCTTGAGCGGCTGGGCATGCTATGCTGGCTGTAAAGGCCGCCGCCCTGCGAGTGTGCTGAACTGGCCTATGATGGCGAACTGGGGGCGTGGCTTGGCCTGCAGGAGGGCGGGGGCAGTGCTGGAACCGCGTTGGCGGCGAGCGGCGCGTGTCGGTCGGCGCTGCCGGCAGCGCTGCAGGCCAGGCGAAGGATGGGTCGCCAGTTTGCCGGCCGGCAACCATGCCTGCAGCACGAGTGGCGAGACCAGGCCACACCACTGTGACAAGGAGTGGCTGCCATTGCCCTGGACCGCCCTGCAGGTAAAAGAGGTCGTGCAGCCTGAAATGTATACAGATCTGGGGCGATGGACTCATCGCATTTGGATTTGTGTGCGTTGTGTCCGCGTTGGCGCCAGCCAGACAAACATCCCAAGCTGAATTCAGTTTGCGCACTGCATTCCTCCGCATCCACAACTACTCCACATACCGCGCTGCGCCCTCCCGCCCTCACTGCACTGCAGTTTGTTGGCTCTCTGTCTGGTGATCGCTTGGGCCGGCGCTTTGTAAGTCCCAGGCTGAACTGCAGCGGCGTGCGGTGTGATGGAGCGCCCCCGGGCAGTGCTTTTGCTGCTGTTGGGCCTCCTGTGCTTGCTGGAGGCTGGCAGCGGGCTGCCCGCACAGAGCGGGTCGCTGAAGCGGAAGAAAAAGAAGAAGGGGAGCTCGGTGGAGCTGCGCCTGCTGAATGAGAGCCAGGCGGGCAGCGGCAGCAGCGCGAGCGGCCCCGACTACCTGTACCTGGCGCTTCGCCGCTATCTCAACAACCAGGAGCTCACAGAATGGCTGCAGAGTTACGAGAAGCGGTGCAAGAGCATAGCGCGGCTCACCAAGATAGGCACTAGTGCGCAGGACAGGTGCGGCACGGTGGGGGGCACGGCGTGGCAGGCCGCGGGGGGCGGGTGTCGCGGGCGGGCGCAGCAGGTGGTGCCAGCTTCCTATGCCTCTGCAGTGCAGCTGTTGCTTCTGCCCAAGCACCACGGGCAATTTATTCCCTCTGCAATTTACTGCTGTGTCGGCTGCTGCTGCCCTGCAGGCCGCTGTGGGCCCTAGAGATTAGCGACCGGCCTGGGCAGGCAGAGGCGGAGCCTGCGGTCAAGTACGTGGGCGGCGTGCATGGCGATGAGCCCACAGGGCGTGTGCTGACGCTGGCGCTGGCAGAGTGGCTGTGCGCCAACTACAAGACCGATGCCCGGGCCAAGCGCATCATTTCCACCATGCATCTCTGGCTGCTACCCGCCATGAACCCTGATGGCTTTGATGCTCGGTCACGAGGCAACAGGTGCGTGCAGGCAGGGAATGCCCCTTAGCTTTGTTCATGCCGGTGTGTATGCCACCCCCGTGATGCGTTTCTGTGCTCCCGCGCCCCACGCATCGCCGCAGTGCGGGCCAGGACTTGAACCGCGACTTCCCCGACCGCTTCTCCTCGCCCCCGATGGAGCCAAGTGGGTCGGAGCAGCCCGAGACAAAAGCCATCATGGACTGGACTCTGGCCACTGGGTTTGTGGCCTCGGCCAGCATGCACGAGGTGGGGCCCAGGGGCAGTGCGCAGAGCGGGCGCTCATGTGTGCAGGGGCCATGTAGCGATGGCTGCGGCAGCTGCGCAGGTCAGCTGCCCGTGGTGAAGTTTTTCAGGGCGGCGGGGCAGCTAGATAGAGGGTGGCTCGGCAGCATGCCTGGACCCTCCATCCGGTGCCCCTGCCTCTTGGCCGTGTTCTACCTGCAGGGCGCGCTGGTGGCCAACTATCCCTGGGATGGCACCGACGACCGGTCCACGCGCTACGAGGCCTGCCCCGATGATGCTGTCTTCCGGCACCTGGCCACACTCTATGCCTCCACGCACAAGCACATGGCCTCGCCAGACAATGCGGTGAGTGGGTGGTGAGGGTGCGCACGCAAGAGGGACGGTTGGCAGGGGCAAAAGCACACCGGTGTGTGTGTGCTCTGTGAACGAGGCAGCTTCAGCCTGAGCCTCACCACCTCGCCCGCCCCACCATACCGCTTGCAGGAGTTCCCCAACGGCGGCACCACCAACGGCGCCAACTGGTACCCCATCTATGGCAGCATGCAGGACTGGAACTACGTCGTGGGCCACTGCCTGGAGCTGACGCTGGAGCTCAGGTGGGACGGTGCGGGGCCAGGGCGGGAACGTTGGATGTGAGCCGGCCGAGCTCGTCGCTCTGTTGTCACGCAAGCATTACACAGCTCCTGTTGATCTGCACCTCCGCCCTTGCATTGCTGCAGCCCGACCAAATGGCCGCAGGAGTCGGGGCTTGCCAAGCTGTGGGATGATAACCGCGACGCGCTCCTGGCCTTCCCGCTGACGGCTGCATACGGCGGGTGCGCAAACCTGGAGGTCACATGGCCAACCAGCTGCCAGCCCAACCTGCTGCGCTTGGCCCAGCATCTTGCAGCAGCCCGGCACCCACCACCTGTTGACATCATGCGCTCCGTGTGTGCCGTGCAGCGTTTGGGGCAGCGTTCACGCAGAGGGCAAGCTGCGCTCCAAGGGGGCGGAGCTGGTGGCGCTTGGCGGGGCCAACGTCACAGGTATGGGCGCCCTGGCTGGCGGGCTAGCAGCTGGCTGGGTTGAGTGTGACCTGCTTGCTTGATGGCCGTGCAGCGCGTAGCCGGCCCCCTGGCTTCCACCTTGCTGTTGCCGGCCCCCCCCACGCACGTCCATGCCGCAGTGGTGGGCATTTCCACGGTGACAGCGACTCGCGAAGGGTTTGGTGACTACTACCGCCCCCTGGCACCTGGACGTTACATGGTGATGGTGAGCAAGGAGGGTTATAAGCCCTTTTCAGCCAACCTCACCGTCCCCGAGGACGGTTCCGGCGCGCAGCGGCACTTTCTGCTGGCGCGCGAGGGCAGCAGCAGCGGCGGCGAGGTGGCCTACAGCCTGCGCAGCCTAGGGCAGCCGCCCGATGGCGGCGGCAGCGAGGGCGTGCTGCCGTGGAAAGGTCGCCGCAGCAGTGCAGAGGTCGCCCCGGCCAGCAGTGCTGTCTCAGCGGCCTCCAGGGGACGCGATCGATTGCTGATGCTTGGCGCCGGAGCAGTGACTGTCTACGGCCTGGTGATCACGCACCGCCGTTTGCAGCGCAGGAGCCACAGGCGTGTGGCATGAGCTGTTGTGACCTGCTCCTGCTCCTCTCTCTGCCATTTTTTCCTGCTCCTTCCCTCTGCTCATTTATCTTCTCCTTGCTGCTCGTTTGTGCTGCCCTTTTGCTGATCTGTAAGTGTGACCAGCCACTCTGCAGTCCAAGGTCCAGCGCCCCATGCCCGTGCACTCCAGCGCCGTGCACCCTCTGACGTACCACGGCCATGCACATGTCAGCCAACATAATGAGGTTACAGGAGGACTATTTATAATCCTTCATTTAGTCCTCATTTCTACCAGGTAGAAAAGGATTGGCCAACTGGGAAGAAAGGGCTCGCCACAGAATGCAACGACAAGCCAAGTGTACGGACGGCTTGCAAGTACTAGTAGGTCATGGTGCATGCCAGCCATGTACTCGGTTGTTTGAAACACTGCTGTGCTGGCTTGCAGTTTGCGAAGGCTCAGGCTCACTCTTCAGGGAACAGGTCGATATCTGCAGCAGGGGAAAACACACGGGGCCAATGTGGCTGGCAGCAGGCAACGCCAGAGGTCTGAGGCCAGCAATTGCGCACACACTTACAGCCGCTCTGCAGCGTGAAGATGAGGATGGCGGTGACGCTGTAGCCCACGGCAAGGAAGACTGCAGAGAGGTTGTCAACCTGCAGCTCCCCCGTGCAGCGGGGTCAATCCCAACTCAGAACGCCTCACCACTGGGCAACGAGCACACAATAGGTCAAGCAAGAAGTGCACCGGCCCAACACCTGGCAGCCCTCACCAGGTGCCCAACGTGCTGCCCAAAAGCCTGGTCAGCAGTCATCTGCCGAAATGTGGTGGCTGTGCTGACAGGCGCTGCTCTCTGCACCCAGCAACGGCAACACAGGCAGGAGGCGGTGGCATGCTGACTCTTCAGCGGGCAGGCAAGCAGGCACAACCACGTAACTCACCTTTGGTGAACGGAAAAAGATGCCAAACTGCCGGCGCGGGGTGCGCTCTGCCATCAAATCGCCATTGGCGATGCTGGCGTCGCCCCGCTGTGGTGGCTTGAAGCAGCTGCTGCATGTAAAGTTGAACCAGCCCTGCTTGTTGTCAACTGCTGTCTGCATGTCTGGCTTCTCAGCATCCACGTCGACACCGTCTGTTGCTGTTGACTGCTGCTGCTCTTCATCCTCAGGGCAGGTGTCTGCAGGAATGGCAGCACTGGCTGCCGAGGCTAGTGTGGGGTTCTGGCCGCCCTCCAGCTTGCCCTGGTCCCGGAGCTTGCAGTACCGCCGCCACGCCTCCTTCCGCTTCTGCACCACACGGGGCAGGAGGCAGGCTCGCGCTTGTTTCCAGAGTTGTTGCCCTGCTGCCCCTGGCACACGCACAAGTGGCATGCACATGTCAGTAGCGTACGAGGTAGAGCACCACGTGTGCCTGCTCGCCTTTGTCTCTTGCTTCTTCTCATAGCGACAAACAATATGAAAAACCGCGATGCTCTCGATGGCCAGCAAAAACAGGAAGAGGTGGGTGTAGGTCGTGAGCACCAGCTGTTGCGTGGGCACCACGTAGCTGCAGGGGGAAGCAGTGGGGTGCGCCAGTCAGGGGCACACAAGCGGGGCGGCAGGCAGGCAGGCAAGTAGGCAGGCAAGCAGGCAGTACCTCACCTGGATGTGGGTATCTGGCCAATGCCGACAAACTGCACGGCTGCAGCGAGGGAACAGCAGCCCACAAACTCCCAGGTTCCCGTAGCAGCTACAGGAATGCTTGAAGCAATGGACACTGCCCATCCGAGAAGCTGTCTCACCGGTCAGCGCCAAGAACAGAGTGACCACCATCTCCAACCGGGTTTCCAGAGAGCTCTCGCCTGCGATATGCCAAACAGCACTGTTTGGTGAAGAGTACACACCCGAGGCACCGGGAACGAGCTCGACACATCACACTCACTTGTGAATTCACTCTTCGAAGAACGTCATCAACCCAAGAGTGAAGACCAGCACAACAGGTAAGACGGCGTTGATCAAACTAGGCTTCCAAAACCGCTCAATCGCGCAGTAGGAAGCAAGCAGCTGGTCATTCACACCGCTGCAGCAAAGGGACCGCCATGTGCCAGGATTCAGCAGCAGCAATGCTCGACACCAGAGGAGGAGTAACAGCAGAAAACGATGGACAGCAGCAGCAGCAGCGGGAAAACCAGCAGCAGCAACAGCAGCCAGCAGCCAGGAGCCATACGTGAACACGTTGATGGGGTTGCCCTCGTCATCCACGAGGCCGCCGGTGATGCGGGCATTGGGTGGGGCCAGGGGCATGGGGTCGTACGGATTGGAGGTAAGGTCTGAGTATTGGCTGTACCAGTTGCCCATGTCAACAGAGTAGGTCTCCAGCGAGTAGTCGGTCACTGCCCAGGAGCTTGCGTCATCTCCGCGGCCGATTGTGTAGATCTGCTGGGCCGACAAGCAAAGTTAGCTGAAGCGCCAGCGTCGCAAAGTCAGCAGCCAGGCACGGGTGGCGAACAACGCCTGCTGGGTAGCAACTGCAGGCAGGCTTGCCTTCGTTCCACCGCTGGATGGCACCACCGTGATCCCGCTGTGGTTGTAACCATACAATTCTTCTGTGCTGATCAGTCTCGTGGGGTCATAGAACCGCAGCTCCAACGCCAGGTCAAAGCTATCAAACGGGAAGTGGCTGAAGTCCATTGGCTGTGCCAGAGGAGGGGCAGGGGAGAGGAGCATGGCAAACGTATAAGGGAGCGAGGTCGCATCTATGTTACACTGTGTCGACAACAGTATGGCAGCCCTTGCACCCATGCACCTTGGTCCAGCCCCCCGGCCTGCCAGGGCGGTCACCTGGTAGTAGATGCCATGCACGCGGACCTCCCACAGCATGCTGCCATCGTCGGCGGCAAAGATGTTGTACATGATTTCCCGATCTTGCGGGAAGCCGTAGGCATTCTGCGGCAGAGGTGCAGGACCATGCCACCGGCGCAAGGCATGTCGTCAGCTTGGATGCAGAGCAGGGAAGCGCCTGGTGTGCCCCATGCACAGAACCTTTGCTACCTTGAAAAAAAACGAGGGTAAGAAAATATTGTCGCAGCACAACAACGCGTCCACGTTGCTGCAGTAGAAGTCGCACTTGAACGAAGAGTTGGTGATTGCCTGCACCGATTGCTCTGCAAAAAAGCCGGCGGAAGCAGCAGAGCGCTGCAGGTGGAGGCAGGTGGCAACAACAGGCCTTGGTCCGGCACAGCAACAGCGGCAAGGGGCCGTCGGGAGTTTTCCCTTCATCATCGTCGCCCTTTGCCCAGCTGGGGTTGCTGGTGCCAAAGCCCCACAGCCAGCCGTCACCCTCACCCTGGATGGCTTCAACTGCAGAGTAGTCTGTCCAAGAGAGATAGAAATAATGCACGCCCTCCCACCGGTAGTTATCCTCATAGACTTCCAGACGTCGGTCCAGATACACACTGACGAAAGCCGCAACGGCAGACGCAGTCAGATCGCAGGCTGTGCAGTTTCTTGCAATTCTTGGCCGTGCGATGCAGGCAGCCGATACAGATCTGCCTCACCTCACGAACACTTCTGTGGTCTCAGGGCGAGGGAGTCCCCGACCATTCAGCGGACTGCGGGGCGGTAGGTGGGCGGCAGCAGCGGGTTGAGATCAGCCATGCCCGGGGCAGCTCCACTGGCATGATCACAAGGCGCCCGCACCTCTCCAACTGCGCGCTGCAGGGGCTAATGGCCAGCAGCGCCATTCCCAAGAGGAAGGCCACCCCCATGCTGTCCTCGGGACTGGCAGGCTGCCACTCTTGGTTCAGTCTCAGCGATCACGCAGCGGAGGGCAGCTGGCGCTGCGGCGGCTGCAGCAACGGCCAGCCGCGAAGTTGGCGTGTGCCCGCCAAAACCGATGCTTGTAGCAAAGTGGCTGAATGTGCGCGAGATTGGTCTGCTAAGAAGGTCTTGGCTGCGGTATATCAGACTGACCGTCCAGCAGTGAAGTACAGTGGTACGGCGGGATGTCTGGAGCAATTGTGCAAATTTTCAACACAAGCATATTGTTACCAGCTCAATTGATCGAATGAACGACACCGCGACCTGAGAGGGGGAGGAGTGCCGCTCATGCTACTGGGAACAAGTCGATGTCTGCAGCAGAGCGGGACGCGTGCGGGGCGGTCTGCCAGCCAGGCTGGTGGTAGGGTGGAGGCTATCAAGCGGCACACGCATGCACTTACAGCCGCTCTGCAGCGTGAAGATGAGGATGGCGGTGACGCTGTAGCCCACGGCGAGGAAGACCGCAGAGAGGTTGTCCACCTGCAGCTCCCCACGTGGCACGATCTCAATCCAAACCCTTGCTGCGAGCCACAGGCCAAGCCAAACGACTGGCAGCCTCACCATGTGCTCAATGTACTGCCCAAAAGCTTCATCTGCAGTCATCTGCCCCAATGTGGTAACCGAGCGCAGTCCCTGCAGTGGCAGCGGCGGCATGTGGCAGCAGCAGGAATAGGAACTGACCGCCTCCGTGGTGGTGCAGCATGCAGCATGTGGTGCATGCTGTTGTTTTCAATGCTCAGGGAACTTGAAAAAATAGCCTCTTTCAGGAGCGCTCACTCTGTCTGCCTTCTTCGTCGAATGGAAGAAAATGCCAAAAGACTTTCTCCGATACTTGCTCTCTGCTGCTGCCTCACTCTCCACGTGATGACCCTCCTGCTGCCGGGCGCCGAAGCAGGTGCTGCAGGCGAAGACCGTGCCCGGCCTGCTCCCAGCCACCTTCTCTTCGCCACCAATTCCACTGCTGTTGGCTTCTTGCTGCTCCAAATCCAGCTTGGCCTGTGGAGCACTGGCTGCCGAGGCTAGTGTGGGATTTTGGCCACCCTCCAGCTTGCCCTGGTCCCGGAGCTTGCAGTACCGCCGCCACGCCTCCTTCCGCTTCTGCACCACACGGGGCAGGAGGCAGGCTCGCGCTTGTTTCCAGAGTTGTTGCCCTGCTGCCGCTGGCACACGCACAAGTGGCATGCACATGTCAGTGGCATACGAGGTGGAGCACCACGTGTGCCTGCTCGCCTTTGTCTCTTGCTTCTTCTCATAGCGACAAACAATATGAAAAACCGCGATGCTCTCGATGGCCAGCAAAAACAGGAAGATGTAGGTCGTGAGCACCAGCTGTTGCGTGGGCACCACGTAGCTGCAGGGGGAAGCAGTGGGGTGCGCCAGTCAGGGGCACACAAGCGGGGCGGCAGGCAGGCAGGCAAGTAGGCAGGCAAGTAGGCAGGCGGGCGGGCAGCACCACACCTGGATGTGGGTATCTGGCCAATGACAACAAACTGCACGGCTGCAGCGAGGGAACAGCAGCGCAGGGCAAGAGAGCAGGCTCTGAGGCACTTGAACGGTCTACAGGCAGAGCAGAAAGCATGCCAGCAGCCTCCCAAGCTTCCCCGCACCGCCGCCCACCCGCTCGCAGCTGTCTCACCGGTCAGTGCCAAGAACAGGGTGACCACAATCTCCAGGCGGGTGTCCAGAGAGCTCTCGCCTGCAGTAGGCCAAACAATGCTGTATAAACAAACCCCAGGCACTCAAGGGGTCGAGCCCGAACACTCACTCGTGAAGAACGTCATCAACCCAAGAGTGAAGACCAGCACAACAGGTAAGACGGCGTTGATGAGGGATGGTTTCCAGAACCGTTCAACTGTGATTAGAATGGCAAGGTGCTGGTCAGTCACACCACTGTGGCAGGAGGGTGGTTGGGAGGCAGGGTAGGGGTTGAAGAGGAAAGAAACGTCAGCAGGCACATTGAACAGGGGCGGTGCGGCAACAGGTCCACCCCAGCGCCCAGGCAGCACGGCAGTACTGGCGGCCACAACCCCGCCGCCACCCTGCCGTGTCCCACTCACTTGAATACGTTCAGGAGGTTGCCGCTTTCATCCACGTATCCGCCCGTCTGATTCGCATTGACAGGGGCCAGGGGCATGGGATCGTACGGATCGGAGTTGAGGTCTGAGTATTGGCTGAACCACGACCCCATGTCGACAGAGTAGGTCTCCAGCGAGTAGTCGGTCACCGCCCAGGAGCTTGCATCATCTCCGCGGCCAATCGTGTAGATCTGGAGGCAGCAACAAGGCGGGTGGGCGTGGCACAAATGGTAGTACGCGGGAGGCAGGTGCTGCAGGCTGACGGCCACTTGACATCATTCTGCTTCAAAATGGTGTAAGTGCAACGCCGCATCGCTGGCACCAGCTCACCTTCTTGCCGCCGCTGGATGGCACCACTGTGACGCCAGTGTGGTTGGCGCCCCACAGCCAATCTGTGCTGATCAGGATCGTGGGGTCATACAACCGCAGCTCCAACGCCAGGTCAAAGCTATCGAACGGGAAGTGGCTAAAGTCCATTGGCTGTGCCAGAGGAGGGGCAGGAAAGAGGAGCACAGCACATGTACATGGCAGCAAGGCCACACACATGCTGCGCTGTCGACAACAGTATGGCAGCCCTTGCACCCATGCACCTTGGTCCAGCCCCTACTGCCACCGGGCGGTCACCTGGTAGTAGATGCCATGCACGCGGACCTCCCATAGCATGCTGCCGTCGTCGGCAGGGTACATGATTTCCCGATCTTGCGGGAAGCCGTAGGCATTCTGTGGCGGGGGTGCAGGAACAATGCAATCGGCGCAAAGCATGTACACGGGGACGCATTGAGCGACCAAACAATCGGCACCGTCGCAATGGCAAACACTCGTGCCTTGCACACAAACAAACTACACAGCACCCCAGGTGTACCATGCTACGCTGTGCTGCACTGTGCTCCTGCTGCGCTGTCGTGCAGTGCAAGTGGCTGCCCCGCCTGGCAGAATACCTTGAAGAAGAAGGAGGGCAGGTAAATGTTGCTGCAACACAGGGCCTGCTCCAGCACATTGCTGCAGTAGAAGTCGCACTTGAACGACGAGTTGGTAAGCACTTGCTCCGACTGGGCTGCAGGGATATGGTTTTGGGCGGGGTTAGAAGGGCTGCCCATTGGTCCAAGGAGCAGGTAGATTATGCCGCCTCACCCTGCATCGTGTCAAAGGCAGAAAAGTCCGTCCAGGCGATGTAGAAGTACACAACCGCCTCCCATCTGTAATTGTCTTCGTTCACTGGAGGGCAGAGAGGGGCAGGGCGCACCAGCTGTGTGCCCCACCCGCAGGTGGAAGGGCGCCCAAGCATTCTTTGTTGCTGCTTTTCTGGCATGGATCTCACCATCCAGTAGGCGATCCAGGTACGCACTCACAAACACAGCAGTTGTCTCCAACCGTGGCACGCCCTGCCCCTTCAACGGGCTGCAAGCAGGGCAGGCCAGGCTTGCTGCTCGCAGCGGCGGCGGCGGCGGCCGGCGCAAGGGCGAGCATCCGCGCACTAGCCCGACTGAGCTGCCGGTGCGCTCTCTCACCTCTCCATCTGCGCATCTGTGAGGTGCAGGGCCAGCAGTAGCGCCACCAATGTGACCCCCAGTTTCACGACGCCCATGTCTTTGCGGATTTCCTGTGTTGCGCTTTTAGGGTGCAGCCCCGCAGTTTAGGGTGCCCCGCTCCTGTTTGTTATAAAGACCTCCATTGCGTGTGTGTGTGTGTTGTGCTTGGTACATCTGGCACCTGTGCCAGGCTGGCCGTGATTGTATGGGCGAGCGCATATGGTCGCTCGGTTCTGGCGTGGAAATTCAACAGAATCCAACAGGGCAGAGCAGCGCCCCTCCCTCGCCCGATCGGCGTGCCGCCATGCGGTCTCGCTCGCGCTCACCCGTCATAGACCGCAGGAAGAGGTCACGCAGTCGCAGTAGAAGTCGCAGCAGGGACCGCCGCGACGACACCAGAGATGCCAAACGCAGCGCGACGGGCGGCAGGGGCGAGTACAGGGCGGAGAGGGGCGGCAGGGACCGCCCGGATCGGGACAGGTGCGGCGCCGCAGCGCAGGGGGACACGCACCGCCGTCGGCGCATCGGCGTGGGCGGGAGCACGCGGGGCGGTGGCCTAGCGGCCCATGTGGTCTAGCCACGCCTGCCTCGCCCATACTTGTTTGCTGCGGCTGGATCCCCCTGGCTACAGGCGGGATGACTTCCGGCGAGACAGTCACAGCGACCGGCGAGAGCCACGCGACAGGGAGCGGGACGCACGCAGGCCCGACGAACGCGAGCGAGACCGCTATGGCCGCGATAGGGATGGGCTCGACGGCCGCGTCAGGGATGGTCTCGACAGGAGGGAGGAACCTGGCAGGCGGGAGCAGGTGGAGGGTGCTGGTGGGACGCGCGAGCGCAGTGAGCATGTGGGCGCTGGCGTGGCCGAAGAGGAGGGGGCAGCTGAGCCACCTGCGTTACCTTCCATCGGGGACGCCGCCAAAAAGAAAGAGGTGGGAGGCAGGAGGGCGCTGGCAGCTGGTGGAGAGACTGGCGGCTATCTAGCTGCCTGCAATGCATGGCTAATGCGAGTGCACTTGCAGAATGAATGATTTGTTCACACAGATGCATTGCGGGCACTTCTGCTTGACACCCAACCCTCCCATTCCTCTTGCACCCCCCCCAGCCACTCACGTGTCCCTTGTCTCCTGGCCCTTTGTGCAGCCGCTGTCGCTTGAGGAGCTGCTGCAGCGGCGGCAGGCAGAGCAGGAGGCGCAGGCCAAGCCGGTGTTCCTGACCAAGGAACAGCGCGCCAAGCTGGCGCTGCAGAAGCGTGCAGAAGAGGCGGCAGCGGCACGGGAACGGCTGGCGGAGATGCGGCAGGGACTGGTGGCATCGGGTCTGGGCCCCACCAATGCCAATGGAGGCGCCGCGGGGCCAACTGGACGGGACAGCAGAGAAGCCAGGGACAGGTGCGGCGTTTTGTTGGGCACTGCCGTGCTTCGGCTACGAGTCTGCAGCCTGCATTATTGCTCAACACGCAACCCTGCTGCCAAACATGAAGATTCTGGCTTGCGCTGATGGTTCCCTTCCTTGCAGAGGGTATGAGCGGCGGGATGACCGGCGTGGGGAGCACGACAGGCGGGATGAACGTCGAGATGGCCGGCGCGATCGGCGGGACGATGGTGATCGCGAGCGCACCAAAGAGGTGTGGAAACCATCCTGCTGTGGATGTTTCTGGTTGTTGGGCATGTTCTGCGGCTGCTGGTGCTGCATCCTTGTAGCCCACATGCGCTTACGCTTCCTCCTTTGCGTACACCTGGACAGGAGCGGGAACGTCAGCGCGAGCTGGAGCTCATTAAGCAGCAATACCTGGGCGGAGAGCGGGCAAAGAAGAAAGTTCTAAAGGCCACGGAGCGCATGAAGTTTGTGTTTGACTGGGATGCTGACGAGGACACCAGCCGAGACCTCAACCCGCTTTACCAGAACCTGCATGGTGGGTGTGAGGCAGTGGGGATGGCAGGGTGGGGCGAAGCGGTGTGATGGACGAGAGCAGATTGCCCGGAGCTCCAGATTGTGCTACAGGAGGCGCAAGAGTTGGCTGCTCTGCCTCTGGCCGGAAATTTACAGCAGAACTGTGAGTAGTTCACGAGCAAGATTCAAAGCTTGTCTGTTTGGAATGCAGAGGCAAACCTGCTGTTTGGGCGGGGCTTTCGGGCGGGCATCGACCGTCGCGAGCAGAAGAAGACGGCAGCGGAGAGCGAAGCGGAGATACTGCGGCGCCAGCGCCAGCAGGCTGGTGCGTGGCATCTGTCGATGTTCTCTGCAACACAATGTGTAGTGCGGGGCCCGAGCCCGCACGCAGGCACGAATGTCTGACTCACTGCCTGCCCCGTTCCCGGCATTGCCCTGATGGTGCCGCAGGTGTGCGCGAGACGGCAGAGGATCGCGAGCGCGACCGCGTGCGCCGTGACTATGCAGGTGCCTTGTTTTTCAGTGTCTGCCCTGGAATGGGTGGCATGCCATTACTGTTGCCTGCCTGGTTGGTCTGTGTGCTTCTGTGCCTCACACTTCTCATGGCCTCCCTCTTCCCGACCAATACAGACAAGTACGAGGGCGCTGACATGCGAGTCGACAGCCACTGGAGCGAGAAGAAGCGTGAGCACATGACGGAGCGTGACTGGCGCATTTTCAGGTCTCCGATCTGGGAGGGTAGTGGCTGCAGGCGGCCTTCAATGTCAGGCCAGGCTTTCATGTGCTTCTGTGTTGCCAGGGTAGGTTTGTGCCGACTGTTGACAGTTGCTGCTTTCCGTGCGTGCTGTTTCTTGCTCGTCTCTAGGGAGGACTTCAGCATCAGCTACAAGGGCGTCAACCCAGCGCTGCCCATCCGCAACTGGGACGAGGGCAACCTCCCCAAATCGCTTCGCAAAGTGAGGGTGAAGGCAGGACCGGTTAATGCACGTGCGGACAGGTGCCTCGTGCCGCTGCCCTATCCCTGGCTGCGCTATCAATGTTTCCTTTCCAACCTGTTGTGTGCAGGCGGTCGAGCGTGCGGGTTATAAGAAGCCTTCACCCATCCAGATGGCTGCCATCCCACTGGGGCTGCAGTTCAGGGATGTCATCGGCATTGCGGGTGGGTGTGGGGTGCTGGCTTCGATGGCATACAAGCCATGTGATGGCATACAAGCCATGTGCCAGCCATGTGCCCCAGCTGTGCCCCAGCTGTGCCTTAGCTGCCCAGATGCTGTAAACATTAGAGAGGCTCCCGTTGCCCTCCCTGCTAACCCGTGATCACATAACCCCGCCTCCCACTCTGCAGAAACTGGTTCGGGCAAGACCGCCGCCTTTGTGCTGCCTATGCTTGTGTACATTGAAAAGCAGCCGCCCATGCTGGGCAACCCTGACATCGAGGCGGAGGGGCCGTACTCGGTGGTGCTTGCGCCCACTCGCGAGCTGGCACAGCAGGTACCGGGCTGCGTGGCAGCACGGCTTTGTGGCATTGGCAGTCCTCCTTGGCAGCAGCTGGTGCTGGCTGGCTTTGGCCAGCTCACGCCACGCAGCAACCTACGCCACCCCCTTTTGATGCACCCCTCCACACCCACACCCATGCAGATCGAGGAGGAGGCACGCAACCTGGCGCACTACACTGAATTCCGGGTGGTCAGCGTGGTGGGCGGGCAGTCCATCGAGGATCAGGGCGTTGCATTGCGGTGGGTGTTTTCTATTTCGGTGGTAGAGGTGCTTTTGTCAGGAGGGCCACAAGGGGTATGACCTGCTGCTGTTGGTTCAAGTGCAGCAACAGTTAGCTTGGTGCGCAATGTTTTTTTCTGGCCTTTTAACAGGCTGGCTGCCTTTGCCTATGTGCTCGCTGCCTGGGCTACCTGCTGCCTTCAGGAAGGGCTGCGAGATTGTGGTTGCGACACCTGGCCGTCTGGTTGATTGCATCGAGCGCAGCTACGCAGGTGCGGGGCACTGCACAGCCTTGGGTAACACATGTCAACCCTTGAAGGGCCATCATGCTTTTAGCACTTGTTCTGGCTCTGTGGTGGCTGATAGCACCAAATAGTTCCCAATCCTTGCCCAAACCTTGCCCAATCCTGGTCCCTGGCACACAACCACCGCTGCAGTGTTGAACCAATGCAATTACGTGGTGCTGGATGAGGCGGACCGCATGATCGACCTGGGATTTGAGCCGCAGGCGAGTGCAGTGCGAGCTGTACCTTTCTGGCAGCCAAGTTATTGAGCCGGCATCCGGCTGTGGCTGTGTGCTGCCTGGCAGTTGGGTCGTTACGTGAACCTAAAGATGGTGGCTACATACAAGTAGGGCAGGACGTGCATTGACAGCGGTGGTGGGCCCCACGCGCAGGTGATGGGCGTGCTGGATGCCATGCCCTCCTCCAACCTGAAGCCCGAGAATGAGGGTGGGTCCTCTCAGGGCGGTAGTGTGTGGGGGGGGGGTGAGGAGGGTCTATACGCGAGCAGGAGCACCTCGCCTGCATTGTGGCGCTCCCGTCCCCCCCCAAGCCTGCTCTCCCTCCCTCTGACCAACTTGTGCTGCAGATGAGCCGCTGGAGTCCAATCGTGTGTATCGCACCACTTACATGTTTTCAGCCACTATGCCGCCTGCGGTGGAGCGGCTGGCCAGGTGTGTGTGGGGGGGATAGGCCACAGGGATCAGTTGCGGCGGTGTCGATGATCTGGGCGCTGCTGCACAAGCAGCCGTGGCGATGTGTGCCTTTTTTGCTCCCAAGGCCCCGTTGCTTCTTTCCTCACGCTGCAACCTTGCAGGAAGTACCTGCGACGCCCAGTGGTCATCACCATCGGCACCGCGGGCAAGGCTACGGACAACATCACACAGCGCGTCATCGTGAGCTCTCTCGCTGCTGCTCCTCGCCAGCATGATGTGCAACGCGAGTGCCGTGCAAGTTTGCAACGCGGCAGGGATGGCTAGAGACAGGTGGCATTGAGTCCTGACTCGCTCAACTGCTGTCTTGCCCCCACGCTTATCGCACAGATGGTGAAGGAGAATGAGAAGGCACGGTCACTGGAGCAGGAGTTGAACGCGATGGGCGATGACCAGCGCATCATCGTCTTTGCAAACACAAAGAGCCAGGTGGGTATCATGGACGCCAGTGCATAGGATCGGCGTATGGATGCAAGGTTGGACATGGAACAGCGGGGCAGCAGGTCTGTCCGCTGCCAACTCCATTCCCTGCATTATTGATGCTGTTCTGTGCACCCTGAACATGGTCTCTGCGCAGTGCGATGCCGTGGCCCGTCAGTTGGGCAACATGGACTACCGTGTTACCATGCTGCACGGCGGAAAGAGCCAGGACCAGCGTGAGGAGTCAATCAAGGTGGAGATGGGCAGCGCTTGGAATCAACACGGCGCACAAATCATGGAGCCCATTTAATCATGGAGCTCGTTTTTGCACTCGTTGCTTGCCCTCATCCATGCTGCTCGTTCTCTTCATCCGCATACTGCAGGGCTTCAGGGAGGATGTATACAACGTGCTGGTTGCCACAGACGTGGCGGGGCGAGGCATCGATGTGCCCAATGTGGCGCTGGTCATCAACTACGACATGGCCAACACCATCGAGCAATACACGCACAGGTGCTGGCAAGCACGCGGGTTATGGAGGAAGTCAAATGTTGCTGCTGGATGTGTGTGTGGCGCATTATGGGGGAAATTGTGGTGATGTAGCGCCCTCGGGGGCATGGTGGCATGCCGATGTCTGCAAAGCTGATTAGAATGACGCTTGCTGCTGCTTCTACCGGTCCATTTCGCAGGATTGGCCGTACCGGCCGCGCCGGGCGCAAGGGTACTGCGGTCACCTTCCTTACACTCAAAGATTCGGGTACGATTTCTGCAGCACACCTTGCATGGTCAACATCCTGCCGAGTCTCGCTCCACCCTCATCAGTGCTGTCTCATTCATCACCAAGCACGGCTAATGCTTGTCTGCCTTCTGCCCACCTCCTACCTCCTGCCTCCTGTCACAGAGCTGTTTTACGACCTCAAAAAGTTTCTCGAGGAGAACAAGGCGGCGGTGCCCAGCCAGCTGGCGCAGCATGAGGCTGCGCGCCAGAAGCCAGGGACTGTGGGAGGCGGCCGCCCTGCTGTGCAGTTTGCCAAGAAGTGACACTTTGTTGCCAACGCTGATGCAGGCGGTGCTCACAATTTTGGGGCAATGTAACCTTTCATCTCGAATCTTCTGCGCTCGTTTTCATTGTTGTCGCGTCGCGGCACCAAAGCGTTGGGGGCAAGGGTGTTTTGGCTGCAATGGTAGGCGGCAATGCCCCATCGACAACTTACCTATCGACGACTTGGGCGCGGCGGTGGGGAACAATGAACCACCAACCTGTCCTGTCTTGGGCGTTTGACTGAAGAAGTCAAGTCCTAGCAGTGCCAGCCTTGGGCCGTTGAAAGCGGTGCTAATAAAGGCTGGCGGGGATACACTGACGCCTGTGTTGGCCGCCCTGTTTACTGCTGTGCTCCGCTTTGGCTGCTTTCCACCTGAGTGGGCGCTGGGCGCCATCACCCCCATTCACAAGAAAGGCGATACTTCTGATCCAAACAACTACCGTGGCATTACTGTAGGACACGTCTTGGGCAAGCTCTACGCCCTCGTCATCAACGCCCGCCTCACCAGCTGGTTGGAGACGCGCGGGCTGCGCGCCCGGGGCCAGGCCGGCTTCCGCCAGGGCTACCGCACCGTGGACAACTGCTTCATCCTACGGGCCTTGGCTGAACGCTACCGTGCCAGGGGAGTAAAGATGTACCTGTGTGCTGTTGACTTTGAGAAGGCCTTTGACAGCGTGGATCGCCCGCTGCTGTGGGCTGCCCTCACCCAGCACCCAGTGACATATATAATGAGGACAGAGGCAGCCAGGTTTGATCCCAGCCAGCCAGCCAGCCACACACACACACACAATGAATGAAGGAGCTGTAAATTGCAGCAGGTTGAGTACTCTCAAAGTTGACACCACCCAGAGCACACAGCCCATGCTCTCAAGGCGTGCACACAGCAGTGTGCTACAGAGGCATGATCAGCGCCAGACCGACCGGCCAGATGGGCAAGATTTGGCTAAGGTGCCCAACTCTCACCCCCCTCTGTAGCCCACCACCCCAGCTCGTGCCTGCCCCTGGGGAGGGGTTTCATGGGTCAAAATCGTACCCAGGTGACTCTCACTTTTTCACTGAAAACCGTACCCGCATGACGTCTTGACTTGACTTGACTTACCGAGCGGATTCGGAGCCAGCGAGGCTCATACACGCATTGCGGCGGCGTAAAACATGGCAGTCATTGATAAATGAAGCAACTCTATTCTGGTCTTGGGACAAAAAGCATGGGATGGACGTGGGCAAATCAGGGGGGAAGAGATCTGCGTACTCAAAGCGCAGATGGTCGTAAATGGGGCAGTGGAAAACCATGTGGGTCTCGTCTTCAATGGCGGGAGAAGCACACAAGAGGCAGGTGCGTTCATGGGTGGGGGCCTGGATGGCCTTTGGCAAATAGCGTTCCCGTTCGATGCGAAGGTCATGGCAACTGGTTCTAAAGCGAGTGAGGGCGATACGGAGATTGGGGTCATAGACTTCAAGCAAGTGATGTGCTGGTTGGGAGAGGGGCAGGCCGCGGCGAATGTGCTGTAAGTAGTAGGCAAATTTGTTGGTACTGCTGGGTGTTACTGGGAGTTGCTGTTGTTGGCTGATGTTGCTGGCTGCTACTGGCTGCTGCTGGCTCTCGGGCTCCGGCTTGGTCAGCGCCGGCTCCAGGGACTGGCGAAGGTAAGCTGCTGCTGCGCGCTCCACCACGGTCTTCTCATCCAGCTCCGTCAGCCACACGATCGTTCCGCTGTCCGTGGGTGCCGACAGCAGAAACTGCGGCCAGCGCCGGCACCAGCAGGGCGAGCCGGCGGCGAGATCGGTCCCCTCGCGCATCAGCGCCAGGTTGTCCTCAAACGCCCAGGCCAGGACCCGGTCCGGCTCGGCCATGCTGGCTTGCAGGCGATTCCAGAAGCGCACCAGCTGCTGCACCCAGAACAGGTGCACCCAGAACAGGTGCAGCGGCTGACGGCCCAGCTCCGCCAGTGCCACCGCTGAGGACACTTGTCGTGGGAGCCCTTGGATCCGCCTGCAGAACCAGCGGTGCATACGTTCTACTGAGGAGCAGTCTGCCCTATTCAGCATGTCACCCCCCCACACCTCGCAGCCATACGACAGCACGGGCTTGACAAACACATCAAACAGCATGCTCTGCTGTTCCACCAGGCTGACTCCCAGCTGTTGTGAGAGAAGGGCTGTACACCTGACTGACAGAGGGCAGTCACTGAGGAAGGGCACTAGGAGAGAATGACAAACAAGGCGAAATGCAGGGGATTATATGCATGCATGGGAGAATGGCCAGATGGCGGGTGGCTGCCAGATGTCGCCGCCAGCTGGAGGGTGCTGACAGATGGCATTGGGTCGGGGGAGCTGACCGTTGGGTTTTGCCAGCTGGCGCGGGTGTGGGGCGCGTGGCTTTCGGTTTGGCCATCTGGCTTTCGGTCTGGCCGCGTCCCAACGCGGTGGGTGCTGTAGGTGAGCAGGCTGGACAGCTGGCGGGCGCTGGTGCAGCCAGGTGGCCCGCCGTCCAACACTCCCACGCAGACTGCTCAACTGCAGGGGGTGATGCCCATGGCGGTGCGGCAGTAGTCGAACTTGGTTGCCGGCACGGGCTTGGTCAGGGAGTCGGCGACCATGTGGTCAGTCTTGATGTAGGAGAAGGAAACGTCGTTGCGTGCCACGCGCTCGCGGGCAAAGTGGTAGATGACGTCGATGTGCTTGGAGCGCATGGAGAAGACGGGGCTCTTGAGCAGCTTGATGGCTCCCTGGCTATCAGCCAGCATGGGGATGGTTTGGATGGGCTGGCCCAGGTTGCCCAACAGGGTGCGCAGCCAGAGGGCCTCCTTGATGGCGGCGGCTGCCGCCATGTACTCGGCCTCGGTGGTGGAGGCCGCCACGGTCTGCTGCAGGCGGCTGGACCAGCTGATGGCACCGCCGTTGAGGATGAAGACGTAGGCGGTGGTGGAGCGCCGGGTGTCGATGTCGCCGGCGTAGTCTGCGTCACAGTAGGCCTCCAGCCCGGGGCCGCCAGCGCCAAAGGTGATGCCGTAGTTGGCGGTGCCCGCCAGGTAGCGCAGCACGCCCTTGGCTGCCTGCCAGTGGGCGAGGCTGGGCTTGGACATGTAGCGGGCGAGAGCTGCCACGGCTTGGGCGATGTCGGGGCGTGTGCAGACTGACAGATACAGGCTCCCAACCAGCTGAGCATAGCCGGGGGTGCGTGCGTCCATGGGCTCGCCGACGCTGGTGAGCTTGGTGGCAATGCTGAGTGGGGTGCTCAGGGGCTTGGCCTCACCCAGGTTGAACTTGGTCAGCAGGTCAGCCGTCATGCGCTTCTGTGCCAGCTTGATGGTCCGGTTGGCGCGGTCGCGGATGATCTCCATGCCCAAGAAGTAGGTGACAGGGCCCAGGTCGCGGGCGTCGAAGGCAGCCAGGATCTGGACCTTGGTGGACTGCAGCTCGGCGACGTCGATCGAAACGACCAGTATGTCGTCGACATAGATGAGTAGGTAGATGGGGTCGGCGCCGGGCTTGATGAAGAGAGCGGGGTCGGCGCTTGACTCGATGTAGCCCATCTCTTCCAGCACGGACTTGAGCTTCTTGTGCCAGGCCCGGGGCGCCTGCTTCAGGCCGTAGAGTGCCTTGTTCAGGTGGCAGGAGATGTCATTGTTGCCCTCCTCGTAGCCAGGGGGCTGCTGAATGTACACCTCCTCCTCCAGCTGGCCGTTGAGGAAAGCAGTCTTGATGTCCAGCTGGTGGATCTCGTAGTCGTTGGTGGCAGCGATGGACAGCAGGGTGCGCAGGGTGGTAAACTTACTGACGGGGGCGAAGACCTCCTCGTAGTCGATGCCCTCGCGCTGGCGGAAACCCTTGGCGACGAGGCGGGCCTTGTACCGCTCCACGGCGCCGGTGCTGTCGCGCTTGATCTTGAACACCCATTTGACAGGGATGGGGTTGACGCCCTGCGGGGTGCGCTCCAGCGTCCAGGTGTTGTTGTCCAGCAGGGATGCATACTCCTCGTCCATGGCCTGCCGCCAGAAGGGGGCTTGCTCTGAGGCCAGTGCCTCCTCCAGCGTGGTGGGCTCGGTGATGACTGCCAGGTGGGCCTGGGCAGTGGTGGCGCGGTAGCCGTCCAGCTGCCACACAGATGCCGGGCGCTGCGCTGCCGCTCGGACAGGGTTGCGCCGTGGGCCATCTGCCCGCGGCGGCGGCGGCGGTGCTTGCTCCTGCTCCTCCTCTGCACCGCTGTCGTCCGCCGCTCCCACGGTCTCGGCGCCCTCCTCGTCGTCGCTGACGGCGACGGAGTCGCGCCGTGGGGGCAGCAGGGTGCTGGGACTGTGCTCCAGGTTGCCAGGTCCTTCGTTGAAGGTGACGTCGCGGCTGATGACGACGCGCCCGCTGTCCAGGAGGATTTTGTAGCCCTTGGTGCCGGGCGGGTAGCCGATGAGGCGTCCAGGCTCGCTTGTGGGGGCCAGCTTGTTGCGCAGCTGCTTGGGGATGAGCGCGTAGCAGCTGGTGCCGAAGATGCGCAGGTGGGAGACATCAGGCTTGGTGCCGGTGAGCAGCTCGATGGGGGTCTTGTCGCGGCCGCTCGCAGGTAGTTGGCAGTGGCCAGGGCCTCTGCCCACAGGGACTTGGGCAGGTGGGCATCCTCCAGCATGGGACGAACCGTGTCCAGCAGGGTGCGGTTGAGGCGCTCGGCCGCGCCGTTCTGCTCCGGGCTGTAGCGAACGGTGGTCTCCAGCATGATGCCCTTCGATGCACAGAAGGCCTTCAGCTCTTGGTTGATGTACTCGGAGCCGTTGTCGCAGCGCAGCCGCCGCACGCGGGTGCCGCCTTGAGTCTCCAGCTGGGTGATGGTTGCCTTGACGGCCGCAGCCGTCTCGGACTTGTGTGCCAGGGTGTGCACGGTGGAGGACTTGGTGTAGTCGTCCAGGATGGTCACGAAGTACTTGCTGCCTCCCAGGGAGGTGACAGGCAGCGGGCCGCACACGTCGGTGTGCAGCAGCTCCAACTTGGAGGAGGCGGCGCTGTCGCCGC